CTTCCCCCCCCTTAAAATAGAGAAAAGTCGGTACCCACCCGACAGACGAGCAGCCGCGAAGGCCTAGGAAGGGCACGCACGGAGAGCCTTTGTCTGACGGAGGAGGTGGTGGTGGTGGTGGTGGTGGAGGAGGAGGAGGAGGAGGAGGAAACTTGTAGATGTAGTCTCACTAATACCATCCTCCTCCTCCCACCATCATCACGAGTGTCACTACAGAGCTCAAGGCAAACCATGACGGGACGAGGCGCTGAGGCGAGCTGGACATGGTCATGGTGACGTTGGAAGAGTTGCCGACAATCTCAACCTGAAGATGCGAATGTTGAGAGAGAGCCGAGGAGGAGGAGCAGGAGCAGGAGCAGGAGCAGGAGGAGGAGGATCAAGAGCAGGGGCTGGGGCTTGGGGAGATGCAGGGAGGAGGTAGCGAGAAGGGAGGGGCAGGGAGCGAGCAGGGAGGAGGGAGGAGGCGGAACCTTGTACGCTTTGAACACAGGAGGAAGCAAGCTGTCGTCGGACGGTCTCCTTGCTAGAGGCCCCATGACGACGAGGGCGTAGGGCTGGGGACGGGAAGAGCAGACCTGGTTGTAGCCATCTGAGACGCACGGGTTGACGATCCTGTTCGCGGTCAGGCGGATGGTGACGGTGACGGGGGAGCGATCGATGGAGGAGGAGAGGAGGAGGCCGTAGCTGTCCTCCTTGCTGCACTTGCCGTACTCGAGCGCCGAGCCGCGAGCATAGTTGCACTGGAGCCGATGTTTGACGGGGAAGGTAGTCGCCTCGAGAGGGTTGGCCCGGTCGGGGATGGGACGGGGGCAGTCGGTACGATACAAGTCGGTCATGGGGTCGATGGGACAGACGAGGCCGTTGACGAAGGAGATGGAGGAGGCGTCGGAGACGTTGAGGTCAAGATCGTTGACCAGCAACGAGATCCCTGCTCCTCCTCCCGCTGCTGCTGTCGCCGCATCTGCTGGAGGAGGAGGAGGATCGGTCCACACCAGCGCTACTGACAGCCTCGTCCCATCCTCCGTCATGTTGATTTGGAACTGATACTCGTGCACTGACCCCGTCTCGTGCAGTCCAACCCGCTCGTCCTCCACCCACAGCCGCATGCTGCTGCCCCGGTCCTTGAAGAAGAGCGCGCGAGGGAGCGACGGGAGCCCCCAGCCCTCGTCGGGGTTGGGAAGGCAGGTCGCAAGGAGGAGGCCGGAGGAGGAGACTGAGTTGCAGAGGTCGGAGGAGGAGGAGCCGAGGCTGTTGAGCGGGGAGGAGGACGCTATGAGCATGGCCTTGAGGAGGGCGGCAGAGGGCTGCAGCGACTTGCCCGTCCCCTTGTCGCCAAGGGGGTACCAACCCTCCATGAAGTACTGCCGAAGAATCGCCGCCATGCCTGCGACCATGGCGGTGGAGACTGAGGTGCCGCTCATGGCGACTAAGGCGTCTTCCTCGTTGAATGGTTGGTCCCTGCAGACCAAGTGAGGAGGAGGAGAAGCGAGGAAAGATGGAGGATGTCAGAAAGAAGCATGAGGAACGAGAAGGAGAAAAGGCAGGGGGGAAGTGGACCAGACAGGTAAGTCAGCAGAAGCAGCAAGTGCAGCAGAAGAAGGAAGATGAGGAGGAGGAGGAGGAGGAGGAGGAGGAGGAGGAGGAGGAGCAGCAGCAGCAGCAGCAGCAGCAGCAGCAGCAGCAGCAGCAGCAGCAGGAGAACAGACCTTCTCGAGTTCATCTTGCAGTGCCGCGGGAGGCTCTGTGGTGAGCTGCTCGTCACCTTCCTGCCGTTGGCGGCGACCAGAAAGGCGCCGGGGGCTACCAGATCCGGCTTCATCCTCCTAGTCCCCAGCCCATCCCCTGCAGGACCCCGAGCTGAGCTGCCTACGACCTTGTCAATGTCATAGGAGCTGGCACCGAGCTTGTCGGGGAAGGGGAAGGAGGAGGGGCAGCAGAAGGAGAGCTCTGGAGACTTGAAGGCGTTGGAGAGGCAGCAGGTTGTCTGCGGGATGCAGGGGAAGAGCTTCTGCTGCTGCTGCTGGAGTAGGTCGGTAAGGCCCTTGCTGGAGTAGTAGCTGATGTCGCTGAGGACTTGCGCTATCCTCTTGGGGTCTGAATTGCAGCAGTCCATGGGGACGGGGAAGACAGGGTCGGGGACGGTTGAGTTGGTGGAAACCTGGAGAAAAGGGAGAGGAGAGGAGTGGGTGAGAAAACAAAGGAGGAGAAGGAGGAGAAGGAGGAGAAGGAGGAGAAGGAGAGAGAGAGAGAGAGAGAGAGAGAGAGAGAGAGAGAGAGAGAGAGAGAGAGAGAAGGAGGAGAAGGAGATGGAGGAGGAGAAGGAGGAGGAGGAGGAGAAGGAGGAGAAGGAGGAGGAAGAGATAGAGATGAAGAAGGAGAAGGATGAGAAGGAGGAGGATCAACGAAGGTCATAGCAGCGAGCAAGAGCAAGTCAGCGACGAAACAAGGGAGCTGAAGTCACCAACCGCAGGAGCGTTGGGGTCCGAGGGCCAGAGGCTCTTGTCAGGCCAGGAGGAGCGAGGACACATGAGGCGCTGCTGGGAGAGAGGGGCCGACATGCTGTCAAGGGGGTCCATGTAGGAGGTAGCAGGGCGTAGGAGAGCGTTCCAGTTATGGCTGCTTCCTACGGCGATACAGTTCTTGCAGGTAGCAGGAGACTGGAGGGAGGAGGAGGAGGCGGGGCCGGTGAAGGAACGAGCATCTCCTGCGGGAACGAGGACGAGCATTTCCTGGTGGTCGTAGACGAACCGATCTATGTCCATGGCGGCGGTGGAGTACTTGTTGCAGTAGGAGGAGGTGGAGTAGGAGCAGGAGGTAGAGGAGCAGACGACCTGGGGTAGGGTGAGGAGGGGAAAACAGAGGAAGGGGAGAGGAGAGGAAGAATAGAGGAAGAGGTGAGGGCAGAGGACAGAGCAGAGCTGAGCAGGTGAAGATGGGGGGGGAGGATCGGAGGAGCGGAGAGGGAGGGGAGAGGGAGGGGAGAGGAGAGCTTAGACTCACCCTGGGGAAGTAGCACGACCAGGAGTTTGAGGAGATCCTGACCCCCTGGTCCCACAGAGGCTTCAGCATCCCGTCATAGAGGTCGAGGGGGACGGTGAAGTTGTTTCCTCCCGTGCTGCCGCTCGACACATCGAACACATGTAGCTTCGCCCCTCTCGCCATCCCCTCGTGCAGCCTGGCCATCCTCTTCTCGGCCTCGTTTCCGGTCGCAGGGTCGACGGAGCCTGCGGCCACGGAGCCGCAGAACGAGCCATGCCCGTTGTCGTCGTCTGCTGCGTCCCCGCACGGGTGCCGCGCGGTGAAGAACTGGAAACCTGCTCCCCCGTCGAGCTCGCCAGTCAGCTGAAGATTCATCCCCTGCTTGTTGACTATGACAACTCCGTAGCCGTTCCTGCTGGGAGGGAGTTGGAACGTCTGCTGGAGGCTGTAGACAGGCTTGTCGCAGTTGGGGTTGAGACAGAAGGGAAAGAAAGGGGAGACGTCCGTAGCCTGGGAGACCACCAGCTCGTTGTACTTGTCCCTGACGAGCACGAGCACCAGGATCTGAGCCGGAGCTGCGAAGGGAGGCAAGAGGGAGGCTGGAGAGCAGGGTAAGAAAGAAGTGAGGAGGAGGATGAGGGAGAGGACAGGTGCAGGACGAGCAGGAGCAGGAGCAGGACGCAGGAGCAGGAAAGCAGAAGTCAACTCACCCGACAGTCCGAACTGCACCTGAGCCCCATACCTGTCGTACCTCCTCGGCCATAGGCTGGCGTCAGCCCCACAGGCATGGCAGCAGACCTTACACTCGTTGAGAGCCTCCAGGCAGCAGTTTGAAAGATCGTTGATGTCGGGGCAGGTGCAGGAGGAGCAGGGGTCCGAGTGGGAGGAGCCAGTGGGGACAGAGGTAAAGCCGCAGCAGGAAGAGAGGGCGGGATCGTAGGTGCTGTCGGGGCAGCGGTGCGGATATGCTCTTGTCCAGACGAAGCCAACTGGCAGCTGGAAAGATGTGAGAGGAGAGAGAGAGAGAGAAGGAAGGTAGAGGAAGGAGGAGGGAAAGGGGGGGAGAGAAGAGGAGGAGGGAAAGGGGTTGTTGGGTTAGTAGGCGAGGAGGGAGAATGGAGGGGGTAGATAGTCAAGGTTGCAAGCAGGGAAGACAGCCAGGGAAGTCAGGAGATCCAAAGATGAAGCAGAGACGAGAAACGGGGAGAAAGAGGAGGAGGAGAACGAGGAGGAGAAGGAGGAGGAGAAGGAGGAGGAGGAGGAGGAGAAGGAGGAGGAGGAGGAGGAGGAGGAGAAGTTCGAGGACCTTGGAGAAATCCCCATAAAAGTTGTAGCTGTCCCATCGCATCAGCTTCGGGCAGCCGTCGCACAGCGCACAGTCGTCAGGGAGCAGCTTCGAGTACCCGACCACCTTCCTCCTCTTCAGGTCAACAGCTGATGCAGCACAAGGAAGTCAGAGGAAACTCAAGAAAATTGCTGCTGCTGCTGCTGCTGCTGCTGCTGCTGCTGCTGCTGCTGCTGCTGCTGCTGCTGCTGCTTCTCCTCCTCCTCCTCCTCCTCCTCCTCCTTATTCCGCTTCTCAGCCTATACTTCCTCCTTCAACCCTCCCTCTCTTCTTCACCTCCCGTCGAAGGAGCAAGCGTCAGGTTGCTGGGGTCTGAGGGGTTCCCTTCGCTGAGCAGGCAGTTGGTGACGTCCAGCCCAGTATCAGTCAGTCCGATGATCTGAAAAACTATCAAAAAGCTTGCTGCTGCTGCTGCTGCTGCTGCTGCTGCTGCTGCTGCTGCTGCTGCTGCTGCTGCTGCTGCTGCTGCTGCTGCTGCTGCTGCTGCTGCTGCTGCTGCTGCTGCTGCTGCTGCTGCTGCTGCTGCTGCTGCTGCTGCTGCTGCTGCTGCTGCTGCTGCTGCTGCTGCTGCTGCTGCTGCTGCTGCTGCTGCTGCTGCTGCTGCTGCTGCTGCTGCTGCTGCTGCTGCTGCTGCTGCTGCTGCTGCTGCTGCTGCTGCTGCTGCTGCTGCTGCTGCTGCTGCTGCTTCTGCTCTCCCTCCCTCGCCCCCGTGCACTCAATCCTAATTTCTCTCCTTCCTTCTTCTTGCTCCCTGGCTTCTACAGCCTTCCATCGATGCATCTTAGTCCATTCCTTGCCCCAGCCCCTTCCCTCCTCCCTCCTCCTCTTCATTCCTACCTGGCCGCTCCCATCCAGCCCTCGGTCCCATACAGGATTCGCCTGCAGACGGCCAGTCAAGTCAGGAGAAGTCAAACGGCCGGAAAAAGTCGAAGAGAAGAATCAGAAGAAGATGCGAAAGAGCGAGGGATGAAGACTGTGATGCATGACGTTGACAAACTTGTCGTCTTCCTCCCCTCCTCGTTCCTCCCCTCCTCGTTCCTCCCCTCCTCGTTCCTCCCGTCCTCGTTCCTCCCCTCCTCGTACCACCAGCACCACCACGTCCTGCTCCTCCCCTCGCACCTTCCACTATATCCTCTCTTCGCTCTTCCTCCCCTCCTCCTCTCATCCCCTCCTCCCCTCCTCCTCTCCTCTCACCTCTGGAAGGGTGAAGTTGATCACAAGGGAGGTCACAACATTCAGCACGCAAGTGCAGTAGCCGTTGGAAGGAGCAGCAGCAGCGTCAAGAGCGGCGACGCTGCTGCTGAAATGGCCGTCCGCCAGGAACGAGGCGATGGACAGGTTCGACGAGCACACCTGGCCGCAGCTGGGAAGCAGCTGGGCAGGGATCTGCTTGACTACCGTCTCGTTGACGTCCATCATGCAGCGCGCCTTGATGGTGGAGTACCCTTCATCCATGTACAGCTGGGGCAGAGCAAGGGCAGTAATTTCACCCTGCCCCCCGCTCCCGCTGCTCCTCCTGCACTCGACGACCATCATCTGCCCGGGGTCCGTCTTGGTCTTGTAGAGGAACGTCAGGGAGTCCGGAAGGATCTCTACCCGTATGCTCTCCGCGTCTGCCCGCACGGTCACCAGGTCCCCCGCCTGCGCCATGGGCCGGATCCTGAAGGGCACCTGGTTGATGGACTTGGTCGAGAGGAGCAGCCAGGCAGGATGCACTTCAACCCTCCCTGTGAGGGGGTCGAAGTGAGAGACTACCCTTGGGCACCTCGGGTTGGACCCCAGGGTCCTGTCGGTGCTGCGGATGCAGGAGAAGCTCGTGTCCAGCGGCGACTCGTCGGTGAGCTCGATGAGCATCCCCACGTACACGTTCGGGACGATGGACCTGCCGGGAGCGTCGAGAACGAAGGAGCTGGTGTAGTTCCGGTTGTTGAGCATGTAGCTGACCACTGGCTCCATGACTGCTCCCCTCAGTACTATAAGCATGTTGGTGTTTGTCCCGTTGCCTCCCAATGCAGACGCTCCACTCGCGTGCAAGTTGAACTGTCCTGTTCGACTGCCGGAGAAGCTTGTAACTGAAAACGAGGCTGTCATGACTGGCGAGGTCAGCGCGTCTGCTTCAGACTGCCGGCTGCAGAAATAGCGGTCAGTGCAGTGGAGAATAGCTGGAGGAGAGAAGAAGAGGAGGAGAGGAGGAGAGGAGAAGAGGAGGAGAGGTAGTCTTGGAAATTGTTGAGGAGGAGGCAGACGCTCTGACCTGATCGTTCCTGAGAAGAGAGGATAGGAGACGATCTTCGTTGCAAACCCTGTGCTCGGCTTGAACGTCATCTTGGGCTCCACCCAGAGGACTTGCCAACGATCGCACAGCCAGTCGACGACTCGAGCTAGAGGGTCAGCACCTGCCACGCCTCTCCTTTTCAGCCCAGCAGGAGAGCGCCCCCTCCCTCGACTCACCTGCTTGTTGTCGGCTCGTGTAGACGTTGATCAGCAGCTTGCTGCGTGAGAGGGGCGATGTGCGGGCTTCGAGCTTGCTGGAGTATGCTGCAGGTCAGTAGGAGCTGACCCCGACCTGATGCTAGCAAGACCTCTCAGAGAAGAAACGGTGGCACTCGTGCTGAAAGGAATCAGAGGTTGACGTCCTGCCCGCGTCTCCCTCCACGAGGACGACAACGAGCGAGTCGATGATGTGGTAATCCGTCCTCCCATCGGCTAACTGGCGAACCGACACTTTCAATCTGGCAGCAAGGGAGTTGAGGTCTCAACGCACCCGAAGTGAGGAGTTCGACCGACGCGAGCGCGACTGACGTATCAACTTGTACAAGGTAGAATCCATCTTGTGCTCGATGGGTCGCTCAACTAGCCCCCTGCGAACCGCAGTCAGAGCAGCAGCAGCAGCAGCAGCAGCAGCAGCAGCAGCAGCAGCAGCAGCAGCAGCAGCAGCAGCAGCAGCAGCAGCAGCAGCAGCAGCAGCAGCAGCAGCAGCAGCAGCAGCAGCAGCAGCACACGCAAGAGAAACGGACCGTTGCAGCGAGGATGCGAGCAGTCTGCGAGCAGTCCTTTCACTAGCTATGACCATGTGAGTCTGGTGATCCAGTCGGGGCCCGAGCCGAACGTCAAGGCCATGCACTGCCTGCAACATTGCCTCCTCATGCTCGAAGGCGACATAGTACTGCCGCAGCTCCTGTGCTCCCACAGAGAAGAAAGAAGCAAGATAAGACAAGGTCTCCCAGATTCCTCCTGTCACTGCCCTTTTCCGCAGGCTATCGCCATCAGCCAGCCCGTCAAGCTCCTCGGTATCCTGACTCCCATGCACGTACACTGCGAGGACCGCAGAAGCAAGGATAAGAGCCATTGCTAGGTGACGGTGACCGGCAGTCCTCATGGTTGGAGTGATTTCAATCAATGTTTTCAATGATGTTCAAATAGATCATGCGTCAAATCTGCGTCCAAAACTTGCTTCCATCCTCGCCGAGGTTCACCCTTCATCATTACCCAGCCACTGCTTCACCATGAGTGCTTGTCCACTGTCTTTGTGCAGCTGATCTCTTGTTTACATTTCCCTCGTCTCCATCCCTCCTCTCTTCTCTCCTCTACTCTCCTCTACTCTCCTCTACTCTCCTCTCAGCTCTCCTCTCCTCTCCTCTCCTCTCCTCTCCTCTCCTCTCCTCTACTCTGCTCTACTCTGCTCTACGCTGCTCTACTCTGCTCTGCTCTGCTCTGCTCTGCTCTCCGCTACTCTCCATTGACTCGTTTCATCCATGGATCACCTCAATCGTAAGGTCAAACACCACCCCCATCGCTCTGGTACCCCCTATTTCATAGAAAATTACCGGTACAGTACCGGAGAGATGAGCGGGCCGTGCCATCCAAGGCATCGGCCGACTCGTCAGTGCCACCCGGTGACTCCGAGGCTGAACGGTGGCAGCATGGCAGTGACCCGGCGGCGTGACCGACTCCCGCCGGGCGGGCCGTGCCAGGTGGCACTCAGCCTCACACAATGGGCCCGGGAGAGTCACAGTGACGGTCAAGCCGCGACTCTCCCAGTGCTTCAAGTTCAAGTTTTCAAGTTTGCTCGTCAAGTTCTGAGAGATGGCACTGATTTAAAGTGACTTAAAAATAAACTGAACGGTACTATAGTTGAAGCTAGTAAGTTGCCGCAGTGCTTTGAAAGAGAGTCAATGACTATCGCCGGATCCGAGACGATGCCATGATGGCCGGGCCATGGTCAGTGTCACTGGCAACTTCGGACATGCGTCTGCATCCGAAGTTTTCAAGCCGGCCCGCGGCATTGAACTTGATCATCCGAGTTCAATCAGTGTGTACGATCATTGAACATCATGAAATTGCTGATCAATAGCGCGCCTTGTGTGATGGTTCCGTTTTAACCTTTCGATCGGCGCACTGAGTCAGACGCCGCGCATCAGACGCCGCGCCATTCAATAATAGTACCGTGAAATGGGGGAACAGTTGATAAACGCACCCACGGTCTTCAAGCCAGTGCCGGGGAACCGTTGAACACACGGTTCAACCCCCGTTGTCTCGGTGTGTGGGAGGGGTCCCAGACGCGGCTGATTGTAATAACGAATGCCCCTATGAGCCTGCCAGGGTGCCGTGGGTAGCCAAGCAAGTCAGTGCCCGCGGCCGTCACCCGCGGCAAGACCGGGTTGAACCGTGTGTTCAACGGTTCCCCGGCACTGGCTTGAAGACCGTGGGTGCGTTTATCAACTGTTCCCCCATTTCACGGTACTATTATTGAATGGAGGGGTCCCTATCTCCCGCGATTGTAAGGCTGTGAGGGGGTGGGGGTCCCTGGCGCCGAGGAAGTGGACTGATATCAACTTCACGCAAGCTGGTCTGGCCTTCACGCGGCCTGGGAAGAACTGATCCGCATCGCGATGCTCTCGTTGAAACTTTGCTTGACGGTGCTGTCGATGTTAGACATGGCAACGGGCCATGCAAGCTTGAGAGCCTGGTCAGGAGATGGGATAGATGCCTCTGGGAATGCAACGCCCGATCTGGCAAATGCCGCTGTCAGTCCAGGAAGGGGCCGCTTGACAGAGATGAGGATATCTCATGCAATGGCAGGGATGTATACTTACAAGATTGAAATCGTCTTGCCAAACGTCGGACAGACCTTGAGCTCTCTGAAGCCTTCTCCCTTGCCTGGATGGAACCTGCGACACAATCCGAGTAGTTCTAGCACGGAAACGCAAAAAAAGCTTACGTACACTGCCTATCTTGGCCATGAATTGTTCGACCAATGGTATCTTCAAATACCAATCTCGATGAATTTCAAATGCAATACACAGTACAACGATCCTCTCATTAGAGGCTGTGGCTCCATAGAACAAGACATGATCGTGTACGCGCTCTTTCCTGTGCGGCAGCATTTGTGCGAGGTGAATGTAAATGGTGTGTGCGTACCCAACGGACGGACCCTGGACTGGGCAGACTTTGCAGAGCCTTCAAGCAACGCAACGAAACTATCAGACTCATGCAATGCTAAGAGTAGCCCTGGGATCAAAGTCTTTCGGAGTCCTCTGGTACGGGCCACATGCAATGTATCTGTTACTACACCCCAGCCTGCGTTCGCGCTGTCCACGGCTTTTGAATCGCCTTGCAGTGGTGAAAGCTGCAACTCTGGAGTCCGAGCAGCCTCGCCAGCGTCTACAACGGTGATTGCAAACGGTGATACAACGGCTTCAACTGCAACTTCCAGCTCGGGTTCAGAACACGTTCATTCCTTGGTGAATCGGTGGACGATTGCATCGTTGATCATGCCGTCTTTGGTGTACATGGAGAGGTTGGCCAAGTCCATGTTCGAGTAGATGCAGAACCGGCCGCCTACCGTCGTACGAGCTTTCAGTACGGTCGGTGACTTGGACGGATTGTTCACGTTTAGCGATTTAGTCGATATCATTGTGGCGAACGTCATGAAATAAACAAGTTGCTATGCCAGTCTGCGGCCACTGAACGGTCACTGCCGCTTTGCGACTGTGCCAGTCGGTAGCCGCTCAGAGAACAGCCGCCCTCAGGGCCTAGACTAGTCTAGTATGATGGCCAAGCCTGCCCTGCGGCGAGGCTTGGGCCGCGCGTCCGATTGCCCCGGCCAGCCTTGTGTGCCTGAGGGTCAACCGATGGACCGGGATGATGCCCGGGCCCTCTCGCGTAGAGAAACTGCTGATCATAGTCATGATTGAGGAGGAAAGTGTGAAGTTATTTATCAGTTAGGGCCAGTGATGCTGCGCGGCGTCTGTGGTGTGACTGAAAGGTAGCAAAACGGGAACCATCACATAAGGCTCGCAAGTTCAATGATTCAGGCTCAGCAATTTCTTAATCGTACAACTCATTAAATCAGCGGCCCTCAGCCTGGCTTGAAAAGATGGCAGACGCACTGGCTCTTCCATAGTGCCTGCGGCACTGAACTCAGTGACCGGGTACACCATGCTTGCCAAGCCGGGCCGCCCCGGTTGACGGATGATACTACCGTAGTAAGGATCCGATCATGACGGTACTAGTAGTACGGCGCCGCGAGTCACGGTGCTCTTAAGTTCAGGCTCTGCCCGGTCCGAGTGTCACGAACGGAAGGACTTGACTAGTCACAGTGATTTGTCAGATGTGTAGCGGCAGCTTGTACACTCACTGCGGCGAGCTCCGGGCTTGAGACCGTCCCGGAGTTCACGCCGGTCACCGGTGGGTCCGATCAGCGCCGGGCATCATCGCCGGACCCGGGACCGCCCGGCCGGGATGCGCGGCAGTGCCCGGCGCTGTGACATACTCAACCGTTTGACGGTAAACTTTCAAAGCCTTGCTTGAAGCGGAGGCTCCCGGCCGGCCCGGGACTCCCCGGCGACTCGGCGACTCCGAGTCCGGCGAGTCGAGTCCGCCCCGCCGCCGCCTTACCGTGATAAGTGATTGGACATGATGGGTTAAGTTAGTCGGTCCTAACTCGGAGATACTAGTTGATAGGGGAATCGTCTCCGTGTGAAGGGCGCATCTCGGTGCGCCGCCTATCGAAAGGGAACCGGGTTAATATTCCCGGACCGGAGGGCGGATAATGCATGGCAACATACGGTTGAAGCGGCTTGAAGTCCCACAGCTCTGAGGCGGGCCTGTGCGGGAGCCTACGCCCGGCGCCGCAGTGACCGCCGCATCCGTACTAAACTTCGCCCGGCGGCGCTGCAACTTAGTAGCCTAGTAGGCCCCGGCGGCGCCCGGCCGCTGAGTCGGAGCCGCTTTACATGCCTTGGCAATACTCTTGCATATTGCTCAGACCGCCCTCAAGCCCGACTCTTTGCAGCAGATTCCTATGAAATAAGTATAGATCATGCTGTCTCCGTGACATGCTTCATGACTTCCTACTTATTGCTCATGAGAGTCAATGTCATCCATCGTACAGCGCCACTAGCGGACGGTCCGTGCGGAGTACTCCTTATTCAAGCTGCTAAAATCTATGATGATCAACCCTCTTTACATGTGTTTGCAATCACAGAGATGTTTTCAGACTGCTGCGCTCACACCAGATTCTGCAGGGATTGCCTCTTCTTGTCCTCGTCTGAGCTCTCCTGCTGCAGATGAGTCACGTCTGCGTAACATTCACTTGCTAACCTTGGATATGCAACCAGGGAAGGGAAGGGGCAAGGCTTGAGAGCTCCCTCTGATCTACAAGGGTGGTCTATGTTGGTCGGAGGCAGGGTAGGGTCCAAAACTTGACCCCATCGGAGAAGGGACTTTCACTGGGAAACAGGTGGGTCCAAAGCATCATAGTTTGAACAGGGGAGGTACCGCATAAACTATTTTGGTACAAGTTTTCCTAACAGTACTCGAATATGTACCATAAAATTGGTACTGTTGGTACAATTATTTGCTACCAGGAAGTACCCTACCCCCTTAAACAGGTCTCTACCAATTTGAATCAGCTCCCAGCCGTCTGACCCACCCCAGACCCCAACTGCCATTTGCTATTCACATGTGTGGAAGGATACCCCCACAGAAAACTATTGGAAACCAGAGGGGTCAGTTGAGAGCGACAACGCTATGCGCTGACTCTGTGATGTTCAAGTTTCACAAGAGATGAAGTCAGGGTAGGTAGTCGGGTTTCAGGAGTGGGCGAGAATCATAAAAGTCTTGGGCATTCTGGTAGTGGAATTGATCGGACGCTGAAAAGCAATCCGATTTCGATTGCCCTTAGGATTCGAACGCGTGGTCAAACAGCACCCGGCACCTGAGCACTTACGGTGGTAGTCATTCAATGCGCCAGAAAAGGTCCCCATGCCCGATGACTTCGCGGAGGCGGCGCAGCGGCTGATGGCAGGCATATGGATCAGTGAAGGGGAGGAAGCCAGGAGGAAGGAAGGAATCGGAACCCGGGAAAACTGAGCAAAGAAGGAAGGAAGGAAGGAAGGAAACCAGGTACGGAGGAGAGAGTTATTCTACTTCATTGAATCACCAATAAACACCCAATCAACATCCAACCAGCACCCAACCAGCACCCAACCAGCACCCAACCAGCATCCACACCCTGTTTTACAGTTCAACGGTTATGCAGCTGTTTACTGACTGAGGAAAGAAAACCGAACCGGAGCAAACATTATTGAATTGTAAAACATAATATTAAAATTCTCTTGCAGATTTTCAGTATCTGATTTGTGGTCCCTTTTCGAGCCCTCATACAGCCCCCTTGGAAGGGCATAACTTAATAAACCTCTGCATATAAACCTTAAACAGCCAGATAAATGAAAGAGGTGGAGAGAGAGAGTGAGCAGTCGAGAGGGAGGGAGGGAGAGGGAGAGAGGAGAGAGGAGAGGTCGAGCGATATATGGGAGGAAGGGGGCAGAGTACCCCTTCCTCTGAGCTGCAGAGGTGGGGTTATCTGAGCCGCTGCCAGAGTCTCCCGCCGGCCTAGAGAGTAACCAAGATGAAGAGATCAATCACAACAAGCCATGTCAAAGCAGAAACAGAGTGTCAAGAGGTGAGGTGAGGATGAGAAATGGAAAGCGAAGGAAAGTGAAGGGAAGTGGAAAGCAAAGGAAAATGTGCATCGCACCGATGAGTGAAGTGGAGATCAGGTGGAAGCGAGTGAACACGCCTCAGAAATAAAGGACAATTTCCTTAGGAAACGAGAGGACTGAGTTGAACTGCGAAGTGGGATAAGGAAGGACAATAACTTTGTACCGATAAAGAGAAGGGGATATGATAACGTGAAGTCTTCAAGTAGCACCAACATTGAACTTGATAAAGATGAAGATTGATTCCAAGTGGTACGAGTAGGTGTGCAGAAAAAAAATAACTTTTGACTTTTGTGAGGTAGAGCTGTGGTAGAGGGTGATGGGAGATGTGAAGTTCGAACTGGTCCACTCCACAATTATGAACTTAAACAGAACCATCTCCTGTTGCCCATGACAATTTATCTGCTTGCAGGCTTGAAAGATATCCAAATAATCTGATTCGCGTTCGCATTTCTCTCAGCTATACTCGTGGCATCAAGAGACATTGATTTGAACTTCAGCACTTCTACTGTCCATTATGAGGGGATTGAATTTTTTTCTGGAAATTTTGCTCATCCTCCAGCTCTTCCTATCCTTCGAATCTGCGCTTCGATCCGTTGAGACAGGAAAGTATGCTAAGCTCAAGAGCCGTAAGTCGCGCCAAGGCACTGGATCTCCTCTATCTCTACGCTTGAAAGGCGGAGAGGACGAGGCAGAGAAGAAAGTTGAATTGAACTCTGTGAGTGTAGTTTTCTGTAATTCACTTGTCAATTTCTTGGTTTACTGCCTTGCGCGCTTTACCGTTGCAACTCCACTGTTTCTTCTGTCACCGTTGCTTTCTCCACTCTCATTTCCTTTCCCATCTTCCTCATGCTTATGCCCAAATCCTGATGCTTTTGTTCACAACCTGACTCTCCTGCGTTCCTCTCACTGTGTCTTCCAGACCGCAACATTGAAAAAGCAGCGCGACAAGATCAAAAGTAAGAGAGCAAGAAAAAGCAGAGCAATGCAGCAAGACAGACAGGATGAAAAGTCAAAGGAGAAAGCAAGACCAAAAGGAACAAGACAGCAATACAGGCGAGATGAAGAGAAAGAGGAGAGCAAGACAGACGAAATGAGCATACTGGTGGAATCTATCTCACAAATCCAGCGCCGGATCGAGATGTGCCAAGACCCGGCAGAAAAGCAACGGCTGACCAGTCAGCTTGAGAGGAAGAGCTCGAGCACAAGCTCACGCTCGAGAAGAAGGAGCTAGACCCGGCAGAAAAGCAACGGCTGACCAGTCAGCTTGAGAGGAAGGAGCTCGAGCACACGGTCAAGCTCGAGAGGAAGGAGCTCGAGCACAAGCTCACGCTCGAGAAGAAGGAGCTCGAGCACAAGATCGAGATGTGCCAAGACCCGGCAGAAAAGCAACGGCTGACCAGTCAGCTTGAGAGGAAGGAGCTCGAGCACACGGTCAAGCTCGAGAGGAAGGAGCTCGAGCACAAGCTCACGCTCGAGAAGAAGGAGCTCGAGCACAAGATCGAGATGTGCCAAGACCCGGCAGAAAAGCAACGGCTGACCAGTCAGCTTGAGAGGAAGGAGCTCGTGCTTGACAAACACAGGGCCGAGGTCCGGGAGGAAGAGGCAGAAAGCGCAATTTGGACAGAAAAAACCTTGAGTCGTGATCTGGTGGGGCACAGGGAGGCGAACAAACTCTTCTTTCTCGATCGATCGCTGTTTGATCCAATCAGCTCGTCACAAGCAGGGGTGCGTGTGCTGTACTGCCGAGATTCCTTCAATGAGCAGTGGCGTTTCCTTGACGACCGGGTGTGCAAGGCGGGGTGTCTGGGTTGGATTCTAGGGCCTCCGGGGACGGGGAAGACGACGACGACGATGTCCTTCATGCAATCGCGAGGCATGGAGGAGGGATGGAGGGTGATATGCTTTCGGCTGTGGAAGTGGGGAATTGTCGAATTCTTACAGGTTGATGATGGCGTATTGAGAAAATGTGAGATGCCTGCCGACAATGCGGGGGCTTGGATACCGAAATTTCTCAGAGAACGGGCACCGAGCGGGAAGAAGACTTTGGTGTCTATAGATGGTTACCGACAGGGGGAGCAAGCACATGGATTTGTGCTGAGTGCTTGCCTGTATTGGGTTCATCGTGAACTGGAGAATCGGCGGCTTGTTATCACAACGTCGATGAGCTCTCGAGCAAAGAAGAGTTCCGAGCAAGATGCGAATGAGAAGGTCGAAGAAATGATGGTGTATTCGTGGACAATGGAAGAGTATCTGGAAGCCTGTAGGTACGACGCGTTCTATAAGAGTGTGGCTGATGTGATGAAATGGAGCTTGGATGAAGAAGAGGGAAGCATGGATGAAGGCGAGGGAAGCATGGATGAGACAGAACAAGAGAGAAGGTCGAGAGAAATCGAGTCAAAGTATCAGATTGTAGGAGGCTCATGCCGATATATGTTTGAACGTAGGACAGATGAAGCGATCCAAGAACTCCGTGACGGGATAGAGGCTGTTCCTGATTTTGCGTCCCTGTTTGACATGGGGATGGGAGAGCGTGCAAACAATGCTGTGAATCGCCTGCATGGGAAGTATCGTGTCGGAGACGAGGTGCACTGGACGCTTGTCAGCAGGTTTGTTTCCATGGAGCTAGCACAGAGGCTTGGAGAAACGTTTGTGAGGAAGATTGAAGAACTCGTTGACGCAACTGGGAATCCGACACTTCGGGGTTGGTTGTTTGAGATGCTGTTCTTTGCTCGGATACGAGGGGCAGGGCTGCAGCTTACCACGAGGTCCGAGATAGTCGACGATTGGAAAAGATGTAACGTGATAAGGCTGGAAGCTATGCAAATCCATAAGCTGCAGGAAAAGACAAAAGTAGCAAGGGTGTGCCTGAAGCCATTGAAATGGAATCAGGGGGGCTACGATGCAGTGATTGTTGACTGGAGTGAAAAATTTGTGCGCTTTGTGCAGGTAACGACTAGGCAGTCGCATGACCTCAAACTGCGATACATGGCAAAGTGCCTGCAACTTTTGGGCATTGGGAAGGAGGAAGGCTGGAAGGTGGAGATAGTGTTTGTCGTTCCCGAGGAGATTCTCAACAGCTTCAGCGTGAAGAATGTGGAAAATAAAGGCATTCTTGCAAGGTACGGGTGGACCCGCGGCAATGAAGCGATCGAAGCGCAGGTGTTTGGTATGGATCCCAGAACGCGACGGTAGACCGGCGACATTGATGAGGAAGTTGCCAGGTGAGTCGCTTGATGCCTGACGTGATGGGTTTGCATCGTGTAATGGAAGGTGCACAGGTTGCAACCAAACCAAGCACATGCTTAAACGACCTCGGCTGGATAACGCATAGTTGCCAAGCAACTTAGTTTGATATCAACTTCATTTAGGAAGCAACACAACCAACACAGAGGTTCTTTGGTCACACTAGACCAATTGCTCTGCTCCTATATCCCCCCCAGTTGCAATAGCAGGAGAAGGCTTTCTATGTACAAGCCAACAACGGCGGCAGTATTCTGTTGTGCATGTTGTGTTCTAGTAAATGCAGCATTGACTGTTCTAGTTCACTATGTGACTGCAGAACATTGTCCTCAAAACGAGAGGAGTGCTTGATGGCAAATTTCTTTCGTCAAAAATGGAAATGCCAGTCATGGAGAATCATACTGTGGTCGAGAAACAACCATGCAGAATGGTAGCAAGATGAAGCTAACGTCCATTGTCATGTGCTGCCCGAGTGACAAGCAGAAAAACTGTATAAAAAGTCCATTTGACAAGCAGAAAAACTGTATAAAAAGTCCATTTGTCGTTGTGTAATAAGCCTACACTCAACTATCTCTGACTTGGACAGGTTCAACAGAGTGTAAAACATCGGTTCAGGTGGGGATTAGTGCACTTGAATGATCTTTCATCGCATTCAGAATGTAGAGATGAAAATGCAGTACGAATCGACAATGATTACCGATGACAAAAAGAACTGTTGAATCTGTTTGATGAACTTCGACATGCTTGCAATATGTTCATAGTATGAAAATGCAATCGAATGAAGTGTTCAACACACTCAACATGCTTCCATTGCCATCTTTGGGTTTAGGGTTCATGACTTTGGCGAGGCGACCAAATCACATTTTCATATTACAACATGATGAATAACTCATGATGTTACAACTTTCTCGTGAGTCATATACTTTTAGAATGATCTTGGTTGTGATTCAAGTGCAAGAAACATGTTAAAATATCAAGCTACATCCTCATCATCAGCTTTCCTGCGACTACCGCGCGCCATTGTTCGGCAGTAAATAGACCCCCACCACATCTCCAAATACCCCTACCCTATATTTTGACTGCTTTGTGCTTTGAAGCAACCGGGACAAATCAAAGAGCGATGGACCCCTACCCTATTAATTTCCCTAACCCTAAGAAAACTTGCCGAAAATCAAGAAAACGGCAAAAATCAAGGTCTGCAATTTGTGTCCCCGAAATCTTCAAATACCAATCTCGATGAATTTCAAATGCAATACACAGTACAACGATCCTCTCATTAGAGGCTGTGGCTCCATAGAACAAGACCTGATCGTGTACGCGCTCTTTCCTGTGCGGCAGCATTTGTGCGAGGTGAATGCAAATGGTGTGTGCGTACCCAACGGACGGACCCTGGACTGGGCAGACTTTGCAGAGCCTTCAAGCAACGCAACGAAGCTATCAGACTCATGCAATGCTGGGAGTAGCCCTGGGATCAAAGTCTTTCGGAGTCCTCGGGTACGGGCCACATGTAATGTATCTGTTACTACACCCCGGCCTGCGTTCGCGCTGTCCACAGCCTTTGAATTGCCTTGCAGTGGTGAAAGCTGCAACTCTGGAGTCCGAGCAGCCTCGCCAGCGTCTACAACGGTGATTGCAAACGGTGATACAACGGCTTCAACTGCAACTTCCAGCTCGGGTTCAGAACACGTTCATTCCTTGGTGAATCGGTGGACGATTGCATCGTTGATCATGCCGTCTTTGGTGTACATGGAGAGGTTGGCCAAGTCCATGTTCGAGTAGATGCAGAACCGGCCGCCTACCGTCGTACGAGCTTTCAGTACGGTCGGTGACTTGGACGGATTGTTCACGGTTAGCGATTTAGTCGATATCATTGTGGCGAACGTCATGAAATAAACAAGTTGCTATGCCAGTCTGCGGCCACTGAACGGTCACTGCCGCTTTGCGACTGTGCCAGTCGGTAGCCGCTCAGAGAACAGCCGCCCTCAGGGCCTAGACTAGTCTAGTATGATGGCCAAGCCTGCCCTGCGGCGAGGCTTGGGCCGCGCGTCCGATTGCCCCGGCCAGCCTTGTGTGCCTGAGGGTCAACCGATGGACCGGGATGATGCCCGGGCCCTCTCGCGTAGAGAAACTGCTGATCATAGTCATGATTGAGGAGGAAAGTGTGAAGTTATTTATCAGTTAGGGCCAGTGATGCTGCGCGGCGTCTGTGGTGTGACTGAAAGGTAGCAAAACGGGAACCATCACATAAGGCTCGCAAGTTCAATGATTCAGGCTCAGCAATTTCTTAATCGTACAACTCATTAAATCAGCGGCCCTCAGCCTGGCTTGAAAAGATGGCAGACGCACTGGCTCTTCCATAGTGCCTGCGGCACTGAACTCAGTGACCGGGTACACCATGCTTGCCAAGCCGGGCCGCCCCGGTTGACGGATGATACTACCGTAGTAAGGATCCGATCATGACGGTACTAGTAGTACGGCGCCGCGAGTCACGGTGCTCTTAAGTTCAGGCTCTGCCCGGTCCGAGTGTCACGAACGGAAGGACTTGACTAGTCACAGTGATTTGTCAGATGTGTAGCGGCGGCTTGTACACTCACTGCGGCGAGCTCCGGGCTTGAGACCGTCCCGGAGTTCACGCCGGTCACCGGTGGGTCCGATCAGCGCCGGGCATCATCGCCGGACCCGGGACCGCCCGGCCGGGATGCGCGGCAGTGCCCGGCGCTGTGACATACTCAACCGTTTGAGTAAACTTTCAAAGCCTTGCTTGAAGCGGAGGCTCCCGGCCGGGGACTCCCCGGCGACTCGGCGACTCCGAGTCCGGCGAGTCGAGTCCGCCCCGCCGCCGCCTTACCGTGATAAGTGATTGGACATGATGGGTTAAGTTAGTCGGTCCTAACTCGGAGATACTAGTTGATAGGGGAACCGTCTCCGTGTGAAGGGCGCATCTCGGTGCGCCGCCTATGGAAAGGGAGGCGCCCGGCCGCCGCTGTGAGTCGGAGCCGCAGACATGCTGGGTTCAACGGTAACAGAGCTTTGCACATTCGTTGCGGAGCAGTCGCTCGTGTACGATGCCGGCCCGCAAAAGATGCAAGGAAAGCAGCTTCCGAAGTCCAAATCTTTGCACGCGGTCCGATTGTACCACACAGGGCAAGTGGTGCAAGGGGAGGTGGAAGATACATCGACGTCAACGTAGCTGATCGAATCCCAGCGACGAAACACCATGAAGCGAATATTCTTGTTAACGGAGCACGGGGGGGTGACTATCAAATTCAGCCTGGTTTTGGAGAACAGCGGGTCGGACGACAGAGTCGTGGTCGATCCGGTAGAAATCTGGTAAGAAACAAGCCTTCCGTTGGCCTGGTCTTGTATGATGATGTAATCGGGGTGGAAAGCATTGTTGGCTATGCCTACCGCCGAAGCGTAAGAAAAGATCTGCGTAGAGGTCCAAGACTGCAAGTTGACCAGGTACAACGCGGTAGTGCAGCTGACCACCATGTAGTTGTCGTCTGGCGTCATCGAAGTCGATATTATAACGCTAGAATAGGACTGGCTGTAGCACGTGCTGGCAAACTGGAAGTTGCTGAAGTAAAGTTTTCCGGTGGAAATTTCATAGTTCCAGACGTAGAAACTGGCGTCTGTAAGCCAAATGAAGGATTCGTCGTGGTTGAATACCATCGTGTTCGGCCATATGGTATTCAGCGCCTGAAACCCTTCCGTTGTTGGAGGATTATAAGGTAATATGTTGTTGTTCACTCCAAACACACTGGAAAACGTGATGGGGCTCTGGTAAAGCGACACCTTGTTCACGTTCTGCTGTGAATAGTGCAGCGTAAAGGCGTAAAGATTGTCCTTGCTGACCAACATGGATGACTGAATCGAATTTAGGCCATCGAAAAGGCTCACTGACGTAGACGTCTTCACATCCCACAGGTATACATACCTGGTCTGTGTCCCAACCAGCACCCAACCAGCACCCAACCAGCATCCACACCCTGTTTTACAGTTCAACGGTTATGCAGCTGTTTACTGACTGAGGAAAGAAAACCGAACCGGAGCAAACATTATTGAATTGTAAAACATAATATTAAAATTCTCTTGCAGATTTTCAGTATCTGATTTGTGGTCCCTTTTCGAGCCCTCATACAGCCCCCTTGGAAGGGCATAACTTAATAAACCTCTGCATATAAACCTTAAACAGCCAGATAAATGAAAGAGGTGGAGAGAGAGAGTGAGCAGTCGAGAGGGAGGGAGGGAGAGGGAGAGAGGAGAGAGGAGAGGTCGAGCGATATATGGGAGGAAGGGGGCAGAGTACCCCTTCCTCTGAGCTGCAGAGGTGGGGTTATCTGAGCCGCTGCCAGAGTCTCCCGCCGGCCTAGAGAGTAACCAAGATGAAGAGATCAATCACAACAAGCCATGTCAAAGCAGAAACAGAGTGTCAAGAGGTGAGGTGAGGATGAGAAATGGAAAGCGAAGGAAAGTGAAGGGAAGTGGAAAGCAAAGGAAAATGTGCATCGCACCGATGAGTGAAGTGGAGATCAGGTGGAAGCGAGTGAACACGCCTCAGAAATAAAGGACAATTTCCTTAGGAAACGAGAGGACTGAGTTGAACTGCGAAGTGGGATAAGGAAGGACAATAACTTTGTACCGATAAAGAGAAGGGGATATGATAACGTGAAGTCTTCAAGTAGCACCAACATTGAACTTGATAAAGATGAAGATTGATTCCAAGTGGTACGAGTAGGTGTGCAGAAAAAAAATAACTTTTGACTTTTGTGAGGTAGAGCTGTGGTAGAGGGTGATGGGAGATGTGAAGTTCGAACTGGTCCACTCCACAATTATGAACTTAAACAGAACCATCTCCTGTTGCCCATGACAATTTATCTGCTTGCAGGCTTGAAAGATATCCAAATAATCTGATTCGCGTTCGCATTTCTCTCAGCTATACTCGTGGCATCAAGAGACATTGATTTGAACTTCAGCACTTCTACTGTCCATTATGAGGGGATTGAATTTTTTTCTGGAAATTTTGCTCATCCTCCAGCTCTTCCTATCCTTCGAATCTGCGCTTCGATCCGTTGAGACAGGAAAGTATGCTAAGCTCAAGAGCCGTAAGTCGCGCCAAGGCACTGGATCTCCTCTATCTCTACGCTTGAAAGGCGGAGAGGACGAGGCAGAGAAGAAAGTTGAATTGAACTCTGTGAGTGTAGTTTTCTGTAATTCACTTGTCAATTTCTTGGTTTACTGCCTTGCGCGCTTTACCGTTGCAACTCCACTGTTTCTTCTGTCACCGTTGCTTTCTCCACTCTCATTTCCTTTCCCATCTTCCTCATGCTTATGCCCAAATCCTGATGCTTTTGTTCACAACCTGACTCTCCTGCGTTCCTCTCACTGTGTCTTCCAGACCGCAACATTGAAAAAGCAGCGCGACAAGATCAAAAGTAAGAGAGCAAGAAAAAGCAGAGCAATGCAGCAAGACAGACAGGATGAAAAGTCAAAGGAGAAAGCAAGACCAAAAGGAACAAGACAGCAATACAGGCGAGATGAAGAGAAAGAGGAGAGCAAGACAGACGAAATGAGCATACTGGTGGAATCTATCTCACAAATCCAGCGCCGGATCGAGATGTGCCAAGACCCGGCAGAAAAGCAACGGCTGACCAGTCAGCTTGAGAGGAAGGAGCTCGAGCACAAGCTCACGCTCGAGAAGAAGGAGCTCGAGCACAAGATCGAGATGTGCCAAGACCCGGTAGACAAGCAACGGCTGACCAGTCAGCTTGAGAGGAAGGAGCTCGAGCACACGGTCAAGCTCGAGAGGAAGGAGCTCGAGCACAAGATCGAGATGTGCCAAGACCCGGCAGAAAAGCAACGGCTGACCAGTCAGCTTGAGAGGAAGGAGCTCGAGCACACGCTCACGCTCGAGAGGAAGGAGCTCGAGCACAAGCTCACGCTCGAGAGGAAGGAGCTCGAGCACAAGATCGAGATGTGCCAAGACCCGGCAGAAAAGCAACGGCTGACCAGTCAGCTTGAGAGGAAGGAGCTCGAGCACACGGTCAAGCTCGAGAGGAAGGAGCTCGAGCACAAGCTCACGCTCGAGAAGAAGGAGCTCGAGCACAAGATCGAGATGTGCCAAGACCCGGCAGAAAAGCAACGGCTGACCAGTCAGCTTGAGAGGAAGGAGCTCGTGCTTGACAAACACAGGGCCGAGGTCCGGGAGGAAGAGGCAGAAAGCGCAATTTGGACAGAAAAAACCTTGAGTCGTGATCTGGTGGGGCACAGGGAGGCGAACAAACTCTTCTTTCTCGATCGATCGCTGTTTGATCCAATCAGCTCGTCACAAGCAGGGGTGCGTGTGCTGTACTGCCGAGATTCCTTCAATGAGCAGTGGCGTTTCCTTGACGACCGGGTGTGCAAGGCGGGGTGTCTGGGTTGGATTCTAGGGCCTCCGGGGACGGGGAAGACGACGACGACGATGTCCTTCATGCAATCGCGAGGCATGGAGGAGGGATGGAGGGTGATATGCTTTCGGCTGTGGAAGTGGGGAATTGTCGAATTCTTACAGGTTGATGATGGCGTATTGAGAAAATGTGAGATGCCTGCCGACAATGCGGGGGCTTGGATACCGAAATTTCTCAGAGAACGGGCACCGAGCGGGAAGAAGACTTTGGTGTCTATAGATGGTTACCGACAGGGGGAGCAAGCACATGGATTTGTGCTGAGTGCTTGCCTGTATTGGGTTCATCGTGAACTGGAGAATCGGCGGCTTGTTATCACAACGTCGATGAGCTCTCGAGCAAAGAAGAGTTCCGAGCAAGATGCGAATGAGAAGGTCGAAGAAATGATGGTGTATTCGTGGACAATGGAAGAGTATCTGGAAGCCTGTAGGTACGACGCGTTCTATAAGAGTGTGGCTGATGTGATGAAATGGAGCTTGGATGAAGAAGAGGGAAGCATGGATGAAGGCGAGGGAAGCATGGATGAGACAGAACAAGAGAGAAGGTCGAGAGAAATCGAGTCAAAGTATCAGATTGTAGGAGGCTCATGCCGATATATGTTTGAACGTAGGACAGATGAAGCGATCCAAGAACTCCGTGACGGGATAGAGGCTGTTCCTGATTTTGCGTCCCTGTTTGACATGGGGATGGGAGAGCGTGCAAACAATGCTGTGAATCGCCTGCATGGGAAGTATCGTGTCGAAGACGAGGTGCACTGGACGCTTGTCAGCAGGTTTGTTTCCATGGAGCTAGCACAGAGGCTTGGAGAAACGTTTGTGAGGAAGATTGAAGAACTCGTTGACGCAACTGGGAATCCGACACTTCGGGGTTGGTTGTTTGAGATGCTGTTCTTTGCTCGGATACGAGGGGCAGGGCTGCAGCTTACCACGAGGTCCGAGATAGTCGACGATTGGAAAAGATGTAACGTGATAAGGCTGGAAGCTATGCAAATCCATAAGCTGCAGGAAAAGACAAAAGTAGCAAGGGTGTGCCTGAAGCCATTGAAATGGAATCAGGGGGGCTACGATGCAGTGATTGTTGACTGGAGTGAAAAATTTGTGCGCTTTGTGCAGGTAACGACTAGGCAGTCGCATGACCTCAAACTGCGATACATGGCAAAGTGCCTGCAACTTTTGGGCATTGGGAAGGAGGAAGGCTGGAAGGTGGAGATAGTGTTTGTCGTTCCCGAGGAGATTCTCAACAGCTTCAGCGTGAAGAATGTGGAAAATAAAGGCATTCTTGCAAGGTACGGGTGGACCCGCGGCAATGAAGCGATCGAAGCGCAGGTGTTTGGTATGGATCCCAGAACGCGACGGTAGACCGGCGACATTGATGAGGAAGTTGCCAGGTGAGTCGCTTGATGCCTGACGTGATGGGTTTGCATCGTGTAATGGAAGGTGCACAGGTTGCAACCAAACCAAGCACATGCTTAAACGACCTCGGCTGGATAACGCATAGTTGCCAAGCAACTTAGTTTGATATCAACTTCATTTAGGAAGCAACACAACCAACACAGAGGTTCTTTGGTCACACTAGACCAATTGCTCTGCTCCTATATCCCCCCCAGTTGCAATAGCAGGAGAAGGCTTTCTATGTACAAGCCAACAACGGCGGCAGTATTCTGTTGTGCATGTTGTGTTCTAGTAAATGCAGCATTGACTGTTCTAGTTCACTATGTGACTGCAGAACATTGTCCTCAAAACGAGAGGAGTGCTTGATGGCAAATTTCTTTCGTCAAAAATGGAAATGCCAGTCATGGAGAATCATACTGTGGTCGAGAAACAACCATGCAGAATGGTAGCAAGATGAAGCTAACGTCCATTGTCATGTGCTGCCCGAGTGACGAAGAGCAAAGCATTGCGGCTGGGCCAAAGGTGAAAGACATGCTCCCCTGCGATGCACACTTTGGATCATAAAGCTACAGATATCAACATGATTGAGGGACAAAACATTGAGATAATCTGAACAAGCTTCAGGCAGAGATGGGTTTAGGGTTTGGGACTCATTACGAAGAAAACGAAGCACTGAATATAGTACTGCTGGGTGCCTGCTGTCAGAGCTCATAGGAACCAAGCCTGATTGCAGGTGAGTCTGTTGAATTCAAGGTTAGTGACAAAGTATTGTTATCTACCAAGATGTTGCGTTTCGTGGGCCCCTTCACTATTGTGGATGCTCGTACCATATGGCATCATCCAAAACAACCAACTTTTAAAACAAACCAATTATGGATAGGAGGTTTCTGCCATGTAATGAAAGCTGTGGATGTAAATCTACACTTTGGATCGGTTGATTCCTTATTTTCAAAGTCGATGGGTTTGATTTCACGACGCGTCAGGATATCATGCAGCAGATCGTTATCGGGAACGTAGTGCAAGTTCATGATATTTTGTCTTCCATGAGCTCCCTGAACTCCTTGGTGAGAACTTCCTTTCTGTTGACATAGAGCCATTGCAAAAGACGTATCATGGAGCTGGTATACATCTTCCTGCTCTTCTTCGATATCGTATTCTCGCGGATAGCTTCCACTGATGCTTCGAGCGCTGCTTCGTCCTGAACACGTAAGTTGTCCCACAAAGCAGACTCAGCTTCTGTAGAAGAATGTTTTCGTTTTGGTCGTGCTTTGTTGGTTCTTGCAGCAGCAGTGGGATCTTGAAACATCGAGCTTGGTCCCTCCATCCCATCATCTAACTGTGACGTGCGAGAGGACACTGACATGCCATCTCCTTCCGATTCGTCAATTGCTATCGCTGACTGCACATCATTGCTGGGAGGAGGCGGCGATTGACAACCACAAAATCCAGGATCCTCACTTCGAAAACTGGCACATACTGCATGAAAGTTGCCACCACATTTCCGGCACTTATGTCCAGTCCCAGTCGCAGGGTTGCATGGAGCTCCCTGTATACGACATTCGCGTCCAAACAGGCATTCTCCGCTTGTTTCCGCCATCCCTCAAAAACATAGTATCTGTGATACCAGGGACGGGCCACCCTTTTAGGTATCGGGTTTAGGGTTTAGACTAATTCAATAGTATTCCGGGACCGGGCCCGTTGCGGAAGTGGACAGAGGCATGCTGCTCCGACTGGCTCTCAGTGGCGCGTAGGCCGCTCGGAGAGCGCAAGGGCACCGGAGGAAGCTGCGCCGGAGCAAGAGGTTTGTGCAGTTCAAACAGCTTTCTAAGTCACATGATGGTACTACAGCCTATGATGATGAGAGCGTTCGCAACCTGCTGTCACAGCATTCACAAACCCATATCATGGCAGCCCCTAGCAAATCTGGTCTTTTTTTTTCTGCTTTTTTGGGGGTTCACATGGGGTCCGTACTAGTATACACTCCCTGTTGAGAACTACCCCCAGTGTTTTCACAGATCAAAGGGGGGGTAGAGACTGAGAGACTGACAGGACAAAAGCGGGGTGGGGTGATTTGAACTTTCTCTGGCGTGGAACCCTTCAACCCCCGCCTTGGTTTTAGAGGTACTGCAATTTTAGTTCAAGTTACCCATCACATACATGGTAGTATAGATTGTACTGTATGAAAACATATTGGTACAAAAGAGAGGTTTCATGGTACAGAAGTTCCCCCCTCCACCACCCTACCCCCTTCTTATACGGCGGTCACCGCGGCGCGGCTGGCCGGGCCCGGGGGGCCAGGCCCGGTCGAACGGTGGCATTTTGTTCTTAGTACCGGGTTAGTTAGTGACCCGGCGCGGTACATAAGTGGCAAACTTGAAAGTTTTTTAAAAACTTCATCGGCACGGTCGACCTTCGGCGAAGGAAAAGAAGAGGCTGGAGGCAGCTAGAAGCCTCTGCGAGTCAGTATAATCTGAGTAGAACTATAAACATGATGCCAAGTTGATGGGATTGAATCAATATACTACAAACTATCATAAGATTGATTCGCAATAAACTTTAAACTTGAACATTCTTTTTTACGGCCACCCACCCCTAGACAGGTGCAAAGGCAAAAGACCCCATGGAAGATTCTGGGGGCAGCAAATTTAAATAGGAGAAAATTGGTAGGAACATGATTGATGTCTTTCTGTATTCCCTACAGAAGTCTTCAGTCAAGTCAATTAAAAGTTTATACGAGGTTATTGAGATGCGTCTGCTCGTGAAGAAGATTTGAAAGATTGAGTTCTGAGAGTCTTTAGATTTGAAGCGTTGCAAGAAGAGATTTTTAAATTCATTTATATAGGACCAGAGTCAGCTGGAGCGGTCTGGCGAGCGCGAGATCAATTGAGATCTCAATCTCAACAAACGAGATTATTCGAGATCGCGACCCCCTGTTCGATGGGGAGAAACAAGGGGCGGTGGAATGGGGGGAGAAGGCGGAGGGGTGAAAATGCAGGAGAAGAGGAAGCGATGAAAAGCAGAAGAAATGAGAGGACGGTAGAAACAAAGAGGATCGCAAACTACTCATGAGCAAAAACAGCAAGCGAATATGTCGCAGGAAGGCGGAGGTGTGTGCGTAAAAGTGAAGAAATAGATGATGAATTAGAAGCAACAAGTACAAAGACGGGGATATGGAGGATGTGAGAAATAACAAGCAGATCAAAATGACCATGTAACAAAATGCTGTTAGCTTCTTCAATGTAGCTTTTGATATATAGAATATTTCGCACCCAACTACCTGAAAAAAATGATATTTTTCAGTCTTTGCTTGAGGAATATTTCGTTTTTCATTTATCAGACCAATCATTGCTCCAACACATTGCCTTTCTAAAAATGATACTTCTCGATTTCTTGTGAAACATTTTGACGATATCCAAAGATTTGAAGGCAGAAGATAAGATGAACGCTTCGCAATTTACAAAACAGCAGATGACAAAACAGGTAATTGTTGATGTTTGTGTTGTTTTTGCTTGACTCGCAGCCCCAGCTCCAAATTTTCCCCCGAAGGAAAGCAGGGCAGTCAAAGAGGGATCATGGATCGAATACAGCAGGTATGCATTCGTCTGCTGCAAAGAACATAATGACGCTGTTCTGCAGTTGTTCTCAGTTTAGAGATCCTTCAATCTTTCTCGGAAGTTCCCCTGGTTCAAGCTGCAAAGAAACTTGTAGGAGTGGCAATCCCATTGCCCCGGCGTCTTGACTTTCTGACTGTCAGGGGATATCAAAGACTGCATTGAAGAGCGCTTGCCGGTAGTTTGTATGTACGCTGAGAGTTGAGAAGAGCTCATCGAAAGTTTCTAGAACTTTAGGATTGGAGCGTTGGCCATTTCGCAAGCCAAATGACCCCCAAGGCCCAGGTGGAGCCGAGGAGTTTGTTGAGGAGAGGGAATAATCCTATTGGCAGGGGATTCGTTACAGACAAGCGATATCAATATGCTCAATCACGGCAAGCAGGTCAGGACAGTCAGTACCTCTGGTCCAATGGGCTCACCTTGTTGGAAGGATAACAGCAACTCCGAAGTAGACAGTCAGTTTTCGACATCAGAATGCACCAAAGGGAGTGAGACAACAGCTTCGGTAAGCTTTGCTGAAGTACATGAGATGAAGAGCTCACCTGAGTTGTCCAGCAACGATCGGGCGAAGACGACTATCAAAGCAGTGAGGATCAGAACAGCGACTCGAACGATCTTTCATGGTAAAATGATAGAGGCCACCAGGGGATCAGACTGAACGGCTCACAGGATGTCGGAGAATCCTCTAGGAACGATGCAGGTGGGTCTGCTAGCGTGTGTGGGGAAGTACTCAAGATTCTGAACCAATTTCTAGAATATCATGTGCCTGAACAGCCTTGACGATGCTAGCAAGTTGAGGTGGCTACAAGGAGGTAGAGAAGACAGGGAGCATTGACTTGTCTGTCCAGCCAACCATTCGCCATCAATCAATCGGTCGAGCAATCCTCAGGGCAGTCAAGTGGTGCGTTGAGGTTTGTGCAGAGCCCGAGGGCTGACCTTGTCCCATAGGAGAGGATGATCTGGATAGCTACAACAGCAGCAAGTGAGTTCTTTGAGCTCCCATCCTGTCCTGCCGCTGACTCTGATACTCTGCCCCCAGCAAGCAGAGCCCTGAAGAGGAGGACGAGTACCCTCTCCACGTGAGGGGAGACTTTGTCTTCCCAGGACCGTGCAGATTCTCTAAGAAGGTCTGTCTGCGGATGGCAAAGGGGAGGGATGACGCCGTACACCAGGATGGGCGGTTGGAGTTCTCGAGCTTCAACGGGAGCTTCGTCTCCTGTTTCAACCAGCAGCTGTCGATCCCCAATTTCAACTTCGCCGATGACTTCTGGTATTGAGGGCCCTTGGCGATCGGCCCAGGTGTACTTTTCCTTGTATCATAGATGGAATAGAGATTGTTTCGAATGTACTCAATAACCCTTACCTCTGCCCTCTTCTCTTCCACTCAGGTCCCATCCCCCAACACTCCTTCCTCCGCACTCTCGCCCTTACGAAATGAAATTGATTCTCATACTTGAAACCCCTCCTGTGCAGCAGATACTGCTGAAAGAGTGGAGAATAGGTAATCCAGAAACCAAGACAGTAAGCCAACTTGAATGCAAGGATAAAGATTTTTACCCAGCCTGCCGTAAGGTTTCACATCACGACCCCAGGCATGATAGCATGGAAGGAGACAAGTGAAAAGAATCGAGCAGAGCCGCATGAAATGATCACATGACATACAGCGGGACCTTTTGATCAATTGCCGAGCAGGAAAAAAATCTTGTGGATTTCTAAATTTATTGCGTTTCATCAGAATTACGCCAGAGGCCGTGGCATCTTCGGCGGGATGAAAGCTAACTAAATCAGCCAGGCGTCCTAGGAGCTGAGGCTCACGCGCTTGACCTTGAAGCTGCGGCAGAAGTGCGGCTTTAAGAAGAGCTTGTTGCTGTTGCGACGGGTGTACGACACCATCTCGTTGCAGACGGAATCGGACAGAAGCTCCGGTTGCTCGTTCTCAAAAAAGATGAAGAGGATCTGAGCCCAGATGATCATCAGGATCTGAAACAGCCTGCAGTTGCAGTCTACATGCGCATGCAGCCCGTCCAAGAACATCTTGGAAAGCTTGTTGGGGATCAAAGATCCCCAGAGCTTCTCCTCCCTCGCCTCATCCTCCAGGCGAAAATGCAGCACGAAAATGGCAGACTCACTGGAGTTGGTAACAAACTTGTCGACCTTGACAGTGACCTTCACTTCGCTGCACTGAGCAGAGTAAAGAGTGAGACGAGTGACGTCGGAGCTTTGCGACAAAAGCTTGAAGACCGACATCAGCGAGCTCCTGTCGGTCTTGGGGCCGCACAAGAAGTTGACAGTTCTCCCAGTAACTTGAGCCCCGTCAAATCCAAAGATGTTGTTAAAACACGGATCGACATATCTGATCCGCGGGAGACAAGACCCTTGCACTACCGCAATGCTGCTGTCCTTCTGCAACGGCTGGGTTGTGCTATCGGCAGGATCAAAGAAGATCACAAAGATAGCCCCTTGCTTGTTTTCAATGTAGCTGATCTCCAAGCAGCAATCCTTGGTCTCTCCGAAGCTGTCGTACATCGTTAAGAGACACGTGCAGCTTTGTTGCGGTGAATCACGGCATGCTTGCATTGTGTTCCTTAACATCTGAACGTTCGTCATGGGCCCTTGCAAGGTGCTCAAAGATCGTCCAATCAGTGCATCCTTGGACCAACGGAACATCTCCGACCACTCGCTGGAGGCATCGAGGAAGTTGTAGGGGACCGTACCTTTCACAACCACCAAGTTGCGATACCGCGACACTGCGGTGGTAGCTGCCTGGTTGTCCCAGTTGTGGCTAGATCTTGCCAGCGTCATCATGGCGGTGAAAGATCAAGAGAAGGAAGGGAAGAGGGAGAAGGGAAGGGAGAGAGAGTAATGGGGGAGCGGGAGGCAGTAAGGACGAGGCAACACGGACGGGAAGGAAGAGGTCAAGGGTCAGGAGTATCGGGTGAGGGGCGGGTTGTAGCGCAGTAGTAATGTCATCATTGCTGACAGCGGGTATCGAAATATCCTCTTTTCAAACAATCTCAAAGGTATCCCGCTGAATAATACCCCCTCAAATCGACTTTGAGCGAATCTCAAGGGAAAAATCCTGGAGCATGGGTGGAATATCCTATGACGGCACTTAAGGAATCGCTGATGACATGGTAGACAAACAAACAAGTTCAAAAATTGTTTCCATGTACCCCTCCCCCAAAACGTCTTCGGTGTAGGTCGTAACTTTAAAACTCAGAGGCCAAAAACTGCTTGTGGATTACGTCTGCCATATCTGTGATTGGAATCATTGCAAAATCACACTGTTTCATATCCTGTAAAGTGGTTTGAACGAGGGCAGCGATTTGTTTTCCTAGGAAAATATAAGTTTAGATTTGATGTCTCATCAATTTCATTGGTGCGGGCCTGTTTGAATACAAATCAGATCAGAGGGGTCGGTACGCAAGTGTAATACTATTTTTGAGCCCCCTCCGGCCTCTTGTCATGCATCTGGCATTTGAAAACTGTAAAACTTTTGTTTCAAAATTTTCAAATTTTGACCAAAGGGAAATGAATTCGAAATTCTTTCAAACATGCATAAAACAAGGTCACTTGTTGCATCATGGCAAACCCTACCCCACCCTTCCCTTCCCTTGCTTTCAGTACCTGAACAACAGATCAGTACCCGTACTCATCAAGCATCTCATTCCGAAGTCACGCAGCCAACTTAAAACCTAGCACTTTCCGACCGTGACGAAGGGCTAGAGCCGGGCCGGGCCGGGCCGCAACACGGGCCGCGGTCAGTCGCCGTACGGTCACGGTGCCACCGCCGGTCCCCTCAGGCTCAAACTTACCTTTGACCGTCGACTCCCGAGCCTAGTAACTTGAACTTCGGAACTCACCGTTCGGAAGCGGCTGCCTGACACGCCTGGCACTTCATGGCGAATCATTAGTACCCGGTACTAGTACATGAAAACCTACCTCTCTCACTTCCGGCCGCCGACGGTGACTTTGAATAAATGACTTGATCGTCGGCGTCGGACTCAGCCTCCGAGTCACGCTTCTTTCACTCGAAGTACTACGCGGCCAAATGACACTGCCGTCGGTGTCGGAGACCACTCAGTGACTTGCCAGGGAGCAAACCGTGAACTGCAAGCGGCAGCACAGCCGGGAAGATCCGATGATCCGAGGGCATCGTAATGCATATGCTCAGCACGTCCCGCCAAAGGCCTTTCTTCCCATCATCGCCAGCACTGATGGCCTCTTGCAGGACGAGTGCGTTGCGCTTTCTGTGGCCCCCGGCTGGCGGATCGCTCGGCGAACACTGAAGGAAACGGCAGCGCAGTGGATGGAGTCGGCCTCGCAAGACGTCTCAGGTAATCCGACTTGCGGTGGCAAACGCATCCGCCGGGTCCAGGATCAGTCATTCGTCAGCTCAAGGCCTCCCTGTCCTACGCTGCCCGGATCATCGCGGGTGCATCAGTCCCGGTACGGTATGCGTCTCATTCCGACTTCGGCGGCGGCCACCGACCGTCCGCCGCATCCGCGGCCCTGCCATGCGGCCGCGCGGGGGACTTGTCACAGTGTCCTGCGCGCCGTTAAGTGAAGGTATCAGTTAACTTTGGGGGACAGCAGTCGGCAGGATTGGGTTTGGTTCTCGCTGTCTTTTCTCTTCTCGCCGCCGCAAGTTGGCCTGTGATGCGACAGTGTCAGGGTCAAGCCTCCTCGACTCTCCTTATTGTCCTCGTACCGTAACTTTGAGTAAAGAGATAAAGGCGGGCCTACTATCATGATGGGCCAACCGCCGTTCAACTGCTGTCCCCCAAACAAGTTGGCGGCTTAACTGATACCTTCACTCAAACGGTTCAACGCCGGGTTGTCCACCGTCGGAGTCATGGCCTCGGACCGTCCCGGCGGCGCCGGAGGGCGGCGGGCCGGGCCGGCCCGATCGGAGCACGGCGCCGGTACATAGGCTGCGGCCGCGCCCTTCTCCCGGGAGTACGGTCCACTCGGATGCCATCAACCACCGTCGCTCGAGTTGATTTGGAATCGGATGATCAAGTTCAATGATTGACAAGTTGACAGTGAGGCGGCTTATCATCTTGTCATCTCATGTAACAAAATGCTCTGATAACTAACCTGATCGGACTGTGGATGTCAACCGACTAAAAGAAATTAAGCTAGAGAGAGACTAGATTAAGCCTGGCGAGAGAGAGACTCGATGATGCTGAGCTTAGGGTTTTGTTGATGTTGTGAAGGTTAAACCCGGTAGTAAGTGTAGGTAAGACCTCTTGCAAGAAAGAAGCAGGGATGTTAAAAGGTGGTCTTTGTCTGAGTAGCGATCTCGTGCATCGAGGTGAGTTGTGATCGTGTGGATCGGGGGTTAGAGATTGAGACTTTTGGCAGCAATCCATGAAGCTGCTTGTTTGGTCACGAGTCCCACCCTTGCCCAAGTAGGCCTTAAGAAGTCTGGCCAGTATCATCAGATCTCCAACTTCCGTAAAAGCAAATTCAAGTTCGATAGATTGTAAATTCATTACAGAAATCCTAGGCTAACTTGAAATGTTCGAAAAGCCGACTGTACAATTAGAAGAATTACAACACGAGACAGCAAGGACTTGCTATTCTGATTCTGTTTCTACAACTTTTGCCCTGCAGCTACACTTGAAGCAAGTAATAAATAATTTCCGACTGAATGGTGATGTCGTTGTCATCAAGTATGTGTGCAGCAAAGTTTGGCAAATTCCGGCACAACTTGCCGCCAACTTGGCATGTCACGTTGCCATGACATGTTGCCAAGTTGAACTGGAAACTCGTTCAGATACTCAGACGTTTGACCCGAAACGAGTTCGAAAAATGAGGCTGAATGATCCTTTGAGAACCGCTGCTCATTGTTGACCGCCTCCTGGCCAGGTTGCATACCCTTGGAGGAGATTGGTTGAGTTCGAGATCATCGTCGTCTACGCTGATGTACTGCAAGAAGAAGACGAGTCCATGGAAGATCATGATCATAACGGTGGCAAGAAGTCGAAGTCCTGCTGACAGCCTTTGAACTCTCCTTTCAGGGACAATCGGCTGCGAATCTACAACATGATCGTGGCCTCGAGACCAAAATTCCAACAAGAAAACCCTAAAGAGCCAATCCAAGACCGCGGATACGGGAACAACAACGAGAATCCTCACAAAGATGGATTCCATGATGTTATCAAAAAATCTCGTGGCATATTCGTACCCGTGACGCATTATGTTGCTCTCGCTCGCTTGGTCCCGTATAGTTTCTATGGCGAATTCGGTAAAGCGTTCTTTTGTATTCTCATCCATTTTCTTCAAGCTTCCGGCAATTTCAGAATCCACGGCATTTCTGATAATGACCAGCATGAAACGTTTGTGTCTATGCTCAAATGAATGCAGCTCCATTAGACATTTTAGCGCCTTTCCTTGGATTGTGTACAATGTAGACTCAAGTGAATCTCCTTCAATATCGTAATCCGTGTCATGCCCGCTAATCAAATCGCTGAGTTGTGAAGTGTTGGTAGCCGGTCCATGCAATACAAAAAAAGACCTTCCCTGGAGCATCATCTTTGACCATTCAAATCTGTCAGCAAACGATTGAGAGGTTTGAATCATTTCGAATGCAGGGCTAACGTCCAACAGCACCCATTCCTCATTAGTTAAATTGTTCTGCTGTATGTAACTTTCAAGATCGTCTTGAACAACGCTGTCACTGTAAGTCCAATCATGTGAGCAGCGTTTCTTATCACTGGGCTGTGAAGACATCCTGCGCCGACCCTCAAGCGAACGCGAGACTAAATATGATCAGGACGGGCAAGAGAGACTGATGGTAATGAAACAGGAGAGAAGGAGGTAGGATACGATGAGAAAGGGACAAGATGAGAGCTGTCCGAGGAGATGGGATAAGGACGAGCTGCTGGGGCTAAAAGGGCGGGGGCAGGTGAAGGAGCAAGTGCCCTCGAGGTGCAGGGCAGAAGAGGCCTAGAGGGAAGGAGGCGGATGGACATGCTTGCTGACATGCTTACAACAAAACAAGCAACGTTTTGGAATTGGTTTAAATCCCCCATGGAAAAAGATATGTTTTATTTCTGTACCCATTGATTTCACCCCTGTTTGCCATATGATTTAGGACCCCTCGTCTGCCTTTTTCGAGCAGACACAAGATCTCATCAGACCCCCCATCAAGGTCATTGAATCCTCAATCATTACTCTATATAAAATGGACAATGGTCCTACCATCACATTCCTTTTGAGAACGACATCTGCTCCCGACAAGTGGTCTAAATTTTATGGGACTCGAAATGATTTGAGAAAATTCAGATTTAGGTTTGAAGAGAAGGTTCAGGCGAGTGCTTTCTAGAAATGTCCTTGATGCCATTTGAGCAAAACCAACCTTGAAACATATTTCCAAACTCTCGGTCATTTCTTTTCAAAGTATTGTTTGAAATTTGGATCATTTTCTATTTTGGAAGGTGCTAAAATTTACCACATCAGGCTTTACACTCCCAAGGGGCGATAACCTGGTAGGGTACCCAGATATCCAGAAAGTACCCATCCAATTACAGACAGAATGAAGGGTACAGATGGTGGATTTGAGTTTCTCCAGATACGTACCGAGGGTAGGTAGTGAGAAACAGGAGTAAAAAACCAAACAGATTTATCTTGAAAGGTTTCTTTTACTCGACGCTTCGTTCGTGATTGACTGGAAGAGGCTCATAACCTTCTTGACAGTCATATGTCTCAGGGGGTGGTACACCTGTACCCCCCCTGCTGATGAGTATTTGCAGTTGAAATTCACGAGCATCCACAAGGAGGGTGGGGTGGACTGGGATATAGGGGTGGGCTGTTACTCAAAGGATATGGTCGCTTTGAAAAGAACTCTTTTCGCTCCACAGGAGTCGCTGGGAGTCATGTTCAGGGCAGCACTTGGGGCATCGGATCTGCTCCTAGGATTTGTTCCGATGCCTTCCGGTCGCTTCGGGCTGAGGCGAGCTCGAAATCATACCGTCCGAACACTCGGATCAACCAGTCCGGCCCGATCGGATTTTTTGTCCGGCCCGGCCCGATTGTGATGAAAGAGCCCTCATCCCACCTCAGTCCCATCGATGCGATCCATGGAAGATTCGCGCTGAAATTCTGTGGTGCTCGAGCGAGGGCTGGTGGGAAGGAAGGAGGGGGAGGAGGGGGCGGGGGGATGGTAGGAGGAGCGAGGATCCCTGGCAGAGGAGAAGCAGAGAACGCAGGAGAGGATGAGTGAGCGAAGGAAGGGTGTGGGAGGAAGGGGCTGAAGCGTGAGAACAGGAAAAGTGATATAGAGAGAGTATATGGAGGGAACTCTACCTCAGAAATATATGGTAGTGGGGGGATGTCTCCAGGTAGACCTCGGTTCTCTGATGAGGCGGAGCACTGTCGGATCTCGGTTCATGGTTGATGTCCTCGCTGCGCTGACCCTCCATGTGAACCAGATGCCGCGGCTCATCCTGCTGTTGGTGGTTCTTGGTATTTGCTCTGCCAACTATGCGAGCAGGTAATGAGGATGTGAGAACGAGAAAGATCCTTGTGCCCCTGACGCCCTTGACGTGAAGATATGCGCCCATGGCCGGACCTAGGAAGTTCTTGGGTGATGGAGAACTTCCGAGTGTGCTGAACTCACGCGAGCTGCTTCCTGAGTCACAAACAACAGTCCCACAAGCTCTGCGTTTGAGAGGAGGAGGCTTGCCGTATAGGTACCAGGTAGAGCTCGGAGCCTGCTGTGGGTCTCCCATGACGCCATGAGCGCAGGACAACTGGAGTGACATTGTGGTGAGAATGCCCATCGACGAGCCCATCAAGTCCAAGGACATCCACTACAAGCTCACACCGTGAGTGAACGCTCCTGCGGAGTCTTCCTTCTCTCCTCCCCTGGGACAAGGCTGCCCTGGTGTGACAGCGTGCGGCGCCAGGTCGATGTTGGAGCTGGGCCTCAAAGGGCAGGAGCCGTTTGTGAGTGTGACCCTGCGGGTACTCCTTGCTGTGTGATATGTGCTGGCAGATCAAAGACGAGCTCTGGGGGCTGGTGAAGGTGGACGAGTGCTTGTGAGGCTGCTGGGATGTAGATGGGGGTGCAGCTGAAGGCATGTGTAGGTGGGAGATCGAGATGGACAACAAGCTCGGGAGGCACGTGGCCCTGCAGCTGAAGAAGGTGAGGAGCCCGAGGGAGGCAGCAGGCTGGTGATGGTGCGGGCAGGCGAAGGGAGAGAAGTGGGACTTCCTGCTGAAGAAGGAGGACATCCCGCCTGACATGACGGTGCCGCGTTCCCCTGCTCGATGAGATTTTCCCTCCGTCGGGGCTCACGCAGGCGCAGGTGACAGAGAAGTGCTTCCTCGACATTCAGGTTGTTGGTGGCAGCTGGGAGGTCCCCCTGGGACTGACGTCGCTGGTGCAGATCGATGGGGAGGCGGTTGGTCGGATCGTCATCGGGCTGTACGGCAAGGTGACTTGATTGCTCGACGCAATGGACTAGGGGTTAATAGAGGACCGCAGACTTGCCCCCGCACTGCCTACAACTTCAGAGCCCTCTGTACTGGCGAGGTAGGAGCACGTTTGATTTCCTCCACCCCCCTCCCTCCACCTCTCCTCCACCACCTCTCTTCCTCGCTCTCCGAGCCTCCTCCCTCCCTCGTCTCTCCCTCCACCTTCTTCCCTCCATCTCTCATCCTCCTCTGCTCCTAACGTGCCTCAAAGGTCCAGGTTGACCCCGAGAAGCACAAACGAACGCAGGCGGCCAACGCGACTCTCACCTACAAGGGAACCAAGTTTCATCGCATCATCCCGAGCTTCATGGTGAGGGGAGGAGGTGAAGACAAGCGAGCTTCTCATGTAGATATCAGGTTCAAGGAGGAGACTTCACCAAGGGCGATGGAACTGGGGGAGAGTCGGTCTATGGAGGAAGGTAATGCTGCCCCCTTCCCCTTGACCGCTCCCTCTCCTTTCCATGCTCATTCCTCTGATTCCTCCTGCCTCCTTTCCCCTACCCTCACTCCATGTGCTCTTCCCCAGTCTTCTCACCCGCTCCTCATCAACTCTCTTGCCATCAAGCACACCCCTCCTCTTCCTCTTTCTTCCTCCTCCTTGAATGACCACACGTGCGTTTGAAAGGTTCGAGGACGAGAGCTTCCAGATCAAGCACTCTCGCGAGGGCCTCGTGTCGATGGCGAACGCTGGAGCAGACTGCAACGGGGCTCAGGTAGGGAGGGCAAGACATGGTGACGAGTGGGGCTGATCTTGGTCAAGTTCTTCATCACCACAGCAAGTGCGGCTCATCTCAACGGCAAGCATGTTGTCTTCGGCGAGGTGGATGCCATGACAGATGGTCAGTCCCACCATGACGCCTGTTGGCAGGTCCTAGAAGGATATGAGTTCGTGCAGAAGATCGAAGACTGCGGGTCCAACAGGTTTGTGCTGCTTGCATCCAGCTATCGCAGATGACATCTTCGAGCAGCGGGAAGCCTTCCAAGGAGGTCGTCATTGTGGATTGCGGCGTTGTCAGCGAGTAGGAATCGAAAGATGTGTTGTGAATGTTCAAGGTTGAACCAAGAAAAACGTTTCATTGACATCTAAAATTTACAACTCGCCCACACCGTTTGCCTTCCACCATTCGTAGAGAGAAGAGAGAGAGATACGATGAAAGATTCGTCACTGGCAACCAACACGAGTCAGCCGACGGCATGTGACGGCATGTGCTCAAGCACAAGGAACCTGTTGACTTGAAGCAAATTTTGCTTTGATTTGTTCAAGTTCTTCTTGTTGTTTCTCCAGTAATACCTGCGGCAACGTTCAACCAGGCACCTCACATGTGACAATCTCTTACTTTCTTCGTCTGTTTATTCGGCTGATAGTACAACACTATCAGGTAGCTGCCCAAACGTCAGTAGCGCTCAGCACAACCAACGATGCAAACTCACCGATCCAGCACGTGAAATCCTGAGAGATTGTCGCATGCATTCTTTGCGTCGTAGATGTCTTCATACACCACAAAGGCAGTCCCACGCGTGTCCTTCGTGTTCCCCCTGCACCCACTCTCAGCAAATGCACACTACCACGAGTTCAGGAAGGAAGCACAGTGTGAGGAGATGAGGAGATGAGGAGATGAGGGGGAAAGTTCCAAACATGACCATGACAAGATCATCACATCTGCAAAGACACAGGAAGAGGAGGTCACGCTGCATGCGGTCCTACTCACTTGCGGATCTGGCGAATAGCTCCGTAACGACCGAACAGATCGTACAGCTCTTCTGCTGTGATCTTGAAGGGGAGGTTCCTAAGGGAGCAGCGGCGTCAGTCTGACTGCTCTGCCTACCTCAACCTCCTACCTGACGAAGAGGATTCGGTTCACCTCGGGAGGTAGACGCGCCTATGCATCAAGGGTCACTCGAAGGGACGGGCCAGCCGTTCGCCCCCAGCAACGCAGGAGCGCTGCAACACGAGACACTCCACGAACATGCAACGACATGACAGCAAACATCATCAAGCTTTCAACTTCTTCACCCCCGTTCATCAGCCCCGTCACTCACATTCGCACGTCCGCGCCATGCGTTCTGTACACCAGGGTCGAGGGCCATGGCTTGTCTGCACAAGATTCCAGTCAGCTAAACGGGGCAAGAACAACAACGGGACGCTGAAGATCCCCGAGGATGTCAGAGGAGCACGAAATTCGTCTCGTCGCTGCACCCCCTCCTCCTCTACTCCTCTCCCGCCCACCCGAGACCGTCACAAAAACAAGAAACAGGAAACATAGATCCCCGTCGATTGCCTCCCTCCCTCCCTCAACTAACAACAGCTCGAGAGATTTCTGAGTGACCACACAATAGGAGAGCTTTCAGCGCATGCCATATCGCTACCCTTCTGCTAGATCCCGTTGCACGCAGTGTAATGAACCTTGTGCCGTCACAGGTCACTTTCAAGAGCTCTTCAGCATGAACATACAACCAACAACGCACAGCAGAAGCAAACACAATACCAATGACTTCATCAAGTAACTGCTACAAGTACTTCGAGCGCCCTGCTCTCCTCTCCTCCAGCAACTACTCGCTCCCGCCCTTGATCCTGTTCATCGGGCTAGAACCTTTTTCTCTGATCCCGGTTCAAATGTTTGTGATCCTCCTGCCTCTGATGTGCCTGATGCTTCTTCTCCTCATTGTACTGCTGATAACACTTCTTTCATCATCGTTTCTCCTCCCTCCTCCCCCTTCCCCTCGCTCTTGCTCCCTCCCTCACGCGCTGCATGCTCCTCCTTTCCTCCGCCTCCGTTTTTAGACTTTTAACATTGATTTCTCTGAAATTTTCTTCTGTAATTTTCAACATTTGAAATTAAATTTCAAATATAGTTTGGAGTCAAAATACAATGCTGTGTCGCCCTGACATGTGAGTTATAAATATGTAATCGAACATATTTTTTAAATTGTACTTATCACATTTGTAGCTTGGTCAAATTTAGAAAGAATCGGGGAGATATAATATCAAATATACTTATTGATATGTATATAGTTATTGAATGTGCTCATTCGTACCCGAAACGTCCCATGAGTACACCTTCCAAGGTATCTCCGTACAATATTTCTAGTCACAAGGGTACTTTATATTCATTTCTTTCCACCGTTTCCTCCAGGTTCCTAAAATAGTTTTAGTAGGTTTAAAACTAGCGGTCAGTTTCGGATCAGCTACTACTAGTTTTACTGCCCGGATTTTACTCGCGTTCAAAGTTTCAAATTTTCAAGGTATCAACGTTTCAAAGTTTCAAAGTTTCAATGTTTAGTTCGAATCTGGCGCCGGGCCGGCCGGGCCGGGGAACTGAGAAAGGGGTGAATGTGGGCGATGACAGGACATGCAGGGAGGGCACGAGGAAGCGGGGGAGAATGGGGAGAGGGAGGGAGGGACGAGGAAAGACTGAGGAACGAGGATCAAGATGAAGATGAAGATGAAGATGAAGATGAAGATGAAGATGAAGATGAAAATGAAGACGATATTGCAGGACAAGAGAGAAGGGTCGAGGAATCATACAGGCAGGGGCTGCAGGGAGTGGGGGACAGGGACGGAGAGAGGAAGGGAAGGGAGGGAAGCGGGAAGGAGATGGTACAAAGGAACTTGTAGGCAATTGGGTGGGTATGTACAGCACCACGTCAACTAGATGACTCCGTGTGCTCGCGCCAGGCTGCAGTGCAGCTTGGGGACTGAGGGTAGGCACCAGGCTGAACCTCAGCTCCGTATCAGCGCCATGGAAGATGAGGGCGCGCGATCGGTGAGCATGGAGAGTCCGAGCTCGAGTGAGTCCTACTTGACTGTCCTCAGGTCTTTGAGCTCTCCCAGTCGCAACTCCTCCAGCTGCGTCGGGCATGTGAGCAGGTTCTGCTATGGCGGGTGTGCCTGGCCGCTGAAGCTTCTTGCAGGGTCAGGCGCAGGCATGCTCGGCGTTCGGGGCCGGTCTAACAGCAGACGACAGCGTGAAAGGTTGTTCTCCCTGTGATCTGCGCTGTGAGCTAAGAGGAGCGAAGGCAAGCGAATCGCCAAGTTCCTCAAGAAAGGTCCCGCTAGCTCCTACCGCTGGGTAGACCTGAAGGCGTGCAGGCTGCCAGCTCGGAGATCCCAACGGCTGTTTCGCGCTCGCTGGATTGTGAGGGGAATACATACGTGATAGGAGGAGCTGATGGGCATGCAGGCAGATGGAGAAGAGGGTTCCAGGGAACGAGGAAGCTGCTTTCCAAAACACGCTGACGTCATGTCGGATGGGCCTAGCAGAAGGTGAAGCAGCAGAGGAGGGGTGAGGGAGGAGGAGGAGGGTGATGGATGGGCAGGTTGCTGTCAGACTGGACTGATGCTCTTCTCTGGACTTGGTCTCTTGTCTGGTCGGTGAGGACCTGTGTGAAAGTTGCGGCAGGAACGAAGCAGAACATTCAATCGGGGCTGGGGGTTTTGATGCAAACTTGCGAGAAAGGAAACCACGGCAAGAGCTGCTTCGAGACAGGAAGGATCATAGCGTCTCTTGCTGATGCGGGTGCGCGGCATGACGCGATGGGGGGAGTTTGGGGGGAGGGGGGGCGGGAGCGAGCAGGGAGAGAGCGAGGAGAGGGAGAGTGAGGAGGGGCAGAGTTGGGAGGGAGAGCGCGAGCATTCGGAGAGGGAGGAGGGAGAGGGTGATCAAGGTAAGAGTGACACGAGGCAGGTGCCATCGACAAGGAGAAGATCAACGCCACTGAGAAGATCCGGACCTATCTCCGCAAGGTAGCGCCTCGACCTCATTCCCGTGACTAAGGGCAACTCCAGGCCTGTGACTTCAAGTACCAAGAAGGCTGTGCGTCACTGCAGGCGAGGAGAGGGGGGAGAGGGGGCGGCAGGGCCGTTGCTGAAGCTCCTTGAAGGAATTTGAGAAGCAGTTCCCTCCATCCAGCGACGCGGTCCACGAGGTCGATCGGATCCTTGAGGCGGAGCGAGGTAGAGGCTCTTTGAATGCTCCCATCGCTCCTCCGATGTCATGACATGAGAGCAGGTGAGCAAGGAGGGCAGGAGGGCAAAGGTCAAGACTAGTCGACAACTCCTGATAGACTGCCCGGAAGAATTGAAAACGCGCGTTTGATGTTGTGTACTCTTTACCCCTGCCTGAAAGAGTCTCGCACTTTGCCAACACTACAAACACCGCCCTCAAACCTTCTAGATCAACCCAACTTGATTGTAGGAGGAGGACAGCGGGTTCCCGCCACTCTCTGAGTGGGCACCTACCTGGATGTTCCTCCGAGCCTTGAAGTAGTACAACTGTCCTGACCTAGAGCTCCTCAACTTGAGAAGCACGTTGCTCCAGAGGTCCCCACGGAGATGCATGTGCAGTCTACCCGGAGGAACTCGATCTATCGGAACCCCATCGATCTCGCAAAGCTCGTCGCCCGTGTGTACCATCAGACTATCCGACAGCCCTTGGGAGTCCTGCAGCTCGTTGATGGCAATGACTGAGATCGGGAGTCAGAGGTCGGGCCCGAGCTCATGGCGGAGGGAGTGAGAGAGTACCTGGGAAGGGAGGCTGCTCGTCGAAGTAGAGGCCGACGGTCCCTTCGATGTACCTGGACGTCATAGGAGAAGCTGCCGGCTTCTTGACGACGCCAGTCGAAGTGACGGTGTAACGGGAGCCCAGGTTTTCAAGCTGCAGCATCAGGGTCTGGTTGATGCCCTGCAGGCGAAGGATTTCTTTCTGCATCTGCAGGCATCAAGTCAGAGCAACCCAGGAGGCTCGTCGGCTCACGTTGTCTCTTTCGGCCCTGTCCTCTCGTGTTGGGGAGGACTGGTACTGCTGGAACCTCAGATCCAGGTTGTCGAAGGAGTCCCGCGACTTCCTCTGGTACTCCATCAACTTTGTCCTGGCCTCTTGCAAGTCTTGTGTAACAGAAACAAGGGAAGACTGCGGCATCGGTCATGGAGGCAGCCTGACACGAGACTAGAGGGAAAGGCAGCACCTGAAGACGGTGGTTGTCGATCTTGAGGGACTGGGCCTCGTCCGAGGCGCTGCCTACATGTTCCAGCTGGTTTCTCAAGATCTGGTTTGTCCTCTCCAGCTCAGAGTTGGAGCGCTTGAGGTTCTCAACCTGGTTCAGGTCGACGTAGTCAGACATGCCCTTGTGCGCTGATGCCTCGTTGCGGCTGGTTGAGCTCTCGCTCTCGAGCCTCTCGATGATTTTGTACGCAAACTCCAGCTCTTCCTTCATCTTCTGCACCTCATTTAGCCTGTCGGCCCCCTCGCTCTGCCTCAGAGCCTGGTCTTCCTGCTCCTTGGATTCGTACTCCTTCAACCTCCTCCTCGCGCCTGACAACTCTTCATTCTGAGCCCTCAGGAGGTTCTTCATATCTTCTTTGTCCGATTGATTCTCCAGCTCGAACATCTTGATCTTCTCCTCCAGGTCATTCATGATGGCTGCCTTCTCCTGCAGCTGGTCTTGGAAGTACCTCCTCTCTTGCTCAAGGGTCGCTCGGTGGTCTTCTTGGATGTTTGACAACTGTGCCGCATACTCCCGCCTCATGCTTGCCATTTGCTCCTGGGCGTTTGCAAGGTCTTCCTTCAATGTCTTCAAGTCATCCTCCTTGTAGTCCTTCTGCAGGAGAAAGGTCACGAGTCAAGACAGTCAGCCGGCTATTCACCTTGGCCTTGTACTGGTTGAACTTGTGCACTCTCAGCGTGATCGTCGAACTGTCATCATTCTCGTTCTTCAAGAACTCGTCGGAGTTGATCTGAATCTTCTTCGTCAGCTCCTTCGTGTGCCCGAAGTCAGCCGAGTCCAGGTTGATGACCGTCGTGCCCAGCAGCTCTGCGGCAACCGAGGGCTTCCCGCTGTATGTCATGATGACGAGCTCGGTCGAGTCCTCGTTGAGCTCGCAGAGGAACTCCTCCTCGTAGTTGATCGTCTGTCCCGGCCTGCGGGAGGTATGGTGGACCTGATTCCTGCCATCCAAGCTGATCATGACGTATGTCTCCATGTCTTGGAAGGAGGACGGAAGGCACTCGAGCGACATGACCTTCACTTGGATGCAGTCGCCCCGTCGGAACTTGAGCCTCTTCTCGTTCTGTTTGTACTGCACGATATCTCTTTCAAGGGCTTCAATCTGCTTCTGTTGATGCTGCAGATTGTCGTTGTGCGCCTGAAGCATCGTTGACAAAGATCGTACTTCCTCATCTGACGGCAAAGGTCAGCCGTCGAGACAAGGACACGCCTCCATCCAGACTTACTGCTCCTTTGCTTCTCAGCTTCAAGAGTTGATATCCTCGACAAACTTTGGGATTCGTTCTCGACATGTTTGGATCGCAGCTCGAAGATCTCATCGCGGAGCTTGTCGCACTGCACGGACAACAAGCAACACTCAGAGGGTATGGCGAACATGACTTCCACCTCACCTCCTCGAACTTCACGTCGAGGTTGTTCTTGAGTTTCAGCGCGTGCTCCTCAGCATGCCTCAAGACGTCTTTGAGTTGTTCGAGCTCATCCACTCTAGACTGCAGTTGAACTGTCAGATTCTTCTTCTCTTTGTCCAGGACCTGAAGCCGAGCCTGCAATTCCCTCACGTCAAACTCGAGCTGCAGATTCTTCTCGTAGCTCTGCGCAAGCTCGTTTGTCTTTTCCGCCAGTTCAGTATTGTCCCTGTCCTCAGTGCGATTATGAAGGTCGGACTTCAGCCGCCGAACCTCCTGCTCGGAAGCTATCAGCTGACTCTCGGTGATGCTGAGCTTCGTCGTAACGGAGTCGAACTGCTCGAGATCCGCCTTCCGACCCTCGAGGTGGTCAATCTGGGAGTAGGCATGGCCCAGCAGGAACCTCAGCTCGGCGTAAAGGTTCTGGAAGAAGGTCTGCAGCTTCGCTTCCTTGGCGTACTGCGCCTTGAGCATGTTTGACACGGCATCAATGATCTTTTGTGGCAAAGGCCCTGATTGAGATTCGAGCTGAGAATCTTCAGAGGCTCTGGGCGCTTCTTCGTACTCGTCCTTGAGACGAGAAAGTAGGTCATAGAGTCGGGCAACCTCTTCAACCTGCTTTCTGGGCAAGCAGCACAGCTCCACCTCAACAATCTCGTGAGTGATGACCTTCCTGACTGTGAGATTGATCGTTTGAGATTCACAAGACAGAATCAAAGTCGAGATCGTCTCGTGATTTGCAGACAGCGAGTTGACGGCAATGATCTCGTCTCCCTTTTGAAGCTTCTCGCAAAAGAATGCAGGGCTGCCGGGCACAAGGATGTCTGTAAGGGCAGACAAGTGAGCCATCAAAACTTGGAGCACTTGTCTGCATACCGATGAAGCAGCCGTAAAGACCGATCCCAATAGACTTGGCATAGCGAGGAGTGAAAAAGTCATCGTCTTCTTGCTCACGAAAACGATCTTGCCAGTAGACGGGGAACCTCTGCATGTTCGTACGATTTTCTATGTTTCACAGACAACCAGGTCAATCTCCTGACAGGGTACACGAGCTGTCGCTCACCTTTCACCGAGGATTCATAGCTCATGGTGCTCTACATGGCAGCCACGGTCAGCAGAGTTACAAGGTTAGCATGAACAAGGACCTCTCCCCGCGGGAATCCATTCTCCATGCTCGCGCGCGAGTTCCTCGAGATGAGGGAACCGTTCATCGGAGACAACTCCGAGAGCAGGCTCATGGCCTGTTACAAAGACGATCAAGGGATGCAGTGCAGGCATGCATGCTCGCAAGCTCATGATTCATGGTCACAAGCTGTGAAGTCGAAAGGGCGTTTCAGCGTCAATGTGTGGAAAACAAGGAGCAAGGTGTCCGAGAGGGGTGAGCAACAAACATCAGAACAGGAGAGGGGATGAGACGACCTTTAGCTGTATAGCAAGAGGGAAGAAGTCAGCTAGCAGAGGGGAAAATGTGGAATGAGGTGTTAGATCATGCTATGGTTGAAAGAGCAGCTGCAGCTACTGGGGCAGACAAGGATCCGTCGAGGTCAGAGTCATCGGGATTGCCAGCATATAACTGTGATGGGCGTCAAGGATGAGAGGAAGTAAGGGACTTTGATGAAGATTCGGCGAATGGTCAGGAGACAGAAATATGAAGGTCTCTTGTTCGGAGAGAGGATTGCAAGGCATGAAGATCAGATCAGCCTGTCTCCGTAGAGAGCAGGTTCAAGACAGAGTGAAAATAAAGGGAGAACCCCGGCCTAATCGGGGGAGAAGAGGAAGAGAGGAGCAAGGAGTAGCAACTGGACGGGGGTGTCAAGACGAGAGGTTCTAAGACAGAGCACACGGAGGTAGGGGGAGAGAGATGGGCGAGGACTGGAGCTGGAAAGACTGAGCGTGGAACGAGTACGAGAGAGGACGGAGAGGAGAGCAGGCGCGAGAGGAGAGGGAGAGGAGAGGGAGAGGGAGGGCCATGCAGTGAAGCGGCATAGGGGAATGAGATCTTGCAGCCCAGAGGAAGGAGCTACCGGTGATAGACAGATCCGTACGATTCCGAGAGGGGGGTAGTGGTGGTACCATCTTCGTACCAGGGGTGGTAAGACTTATATCCGGGGATAGCAGGGGTTCAAAACGAGTACCCCACCCCCTAGTGATAAGCAGCCACCCCCTACAAAGTTACCCAGGGTGAGATACTCCGAGGCTCCGGGGCAAGGGTACCTTCGGGTATGCCAAGTTGGTGGGCCAGGGCCAGGACGGGTGAGCCGGGTGGCTGCATTTCGGCCTGCAAGAGGCAGCCCCCCATAGTCTGAACATTTCCCTCTTGTCGCACTAATGCAATTGCGGTAACCCCCTACAATAGTCATCATGCCGCCCCACCGTGACCCCTTTGTCTTCACAGCAGCCAAGTTGCTGTGGCTCGTATCATGATACGATATGAACCTACTACCCACCCCCTGGGACTCACTGGGAGCCGGCCTACAGTACACCGGTGGTACCCCTCGGGGGCGGGTACTACGGTACCTTAACTTAACATTGAGTAAAAGGCACCTCGAGCTCCAAGCAAAGTTAAGCTACCACCTTTGGCAGTGACCCGGAAAATACCCCACCCCTCTATCGCTGAGTACCAATAGCCTGATATCATACCACCGGTCAGGTCCCAGTTCCGGTGGCACTCAGCCGACGGTCAACCACCCCTGGCCCATCAAGCACTGAGTTGGTTTTGCGCCCCTTGGCGTTGAGCCGCTCAGGCTACTGAGGCCCAACATGACCCCCTGCGGTAAACCGGAAGTTCCGGCCGCTGAAACAGACTCTCCGTCCCGGCCCGGGCCCTTTTACACTCAACATCGGAAGTAACTCCGGCGCTGCCGCTCGGCCCGGCGGAAGGGCCGCCCGCCGCGGGGGCCCCCCAGGCTATGACTGATCACCCGGCGGACGGCCCTCCGAGGCCGCTCCGATCACGCGGCGGCCCGGCGGGCTGGCCGGAGCGGCTCAGGCGGGGCCGCGCCGGGCAGGCTACGGCGCCGGGCCCCAGCCTCTCGGAGGCGGCGCGGCCGCACACGGCCGGGCGCCGTTGCCCCGGCCATCAGGATCGGACTCCGGGATGGTCACCAGGCTCAGTGCCACGCCGGTCAAAGCTGACTGGGACTCTGATGAGGACTCCGGAATGAGGAGCGGGAGCGTGACGGCTGTACTGCGGGCAGAGATCATGATATGCATGGATGCAGAAGCCTGTAGTGTAATAAAGGACGTGGTTGAATCCATTTCTGCGACAAGACGAACTCGGAAACTACTAAGAACCTTTCAAAGTTTTATAGCAGTTTGACTACTAGGGCTGCCATGACGGCACCTTGCTGAAGCTCTGCGGCAGCCCGCCGACCTGCGGCACTCAGTCTGGCGAGCCACGCCTTGTGCCTCGGAGAGTTTCACGATGCCCCGATACTATGATAGGCGATGATGGTGAGCCAGACGGAGCGTTCTTGTCAGCGCTCTGCAACCGTTGCCGCCGGGTCACTAGCGGGTTGGTCCCTGCCCGCAGTACAGCCCGTCACGCTCCCGCTCCTCATTCCTCATCCCAGCTTTGTGGGCTGCAACTGCTCCGAGGTGCCTTGGAACCGCTGAGCCTACTACATCATCCCTAGCAAACACAACTCTTGAACCCTTTCCCTGAACAATGGGCTCCTTACCAAATAGCACATCCCCATCTGAGAATTCACTTTCTCGTCATCGCTTGCCCCACCGTCCTTGTTCAGGTAGCCGCCAATTCTTTCCGGGCTGTACAACTCTTCAAAAAAACCCAAATACTCTTCGGCGCGTTTCCCCTTGCCGTAAAAGGATGCAGCAGATACTATGATCATGTCTAGATAAGGCATGCATGCCTGTTGAGCCTTTTTCATGTGGAGCCGCATAGCCCGCTCATCCTCGATCTCCTCAATATTGGTGGGGTTGCAATCTGACGGCAGCTGTAGCTCCGCCTTCACCTCCTTCCATACAGTCTCGAATGTAGGACTTGGCTTCGGAACCGGATCCAACTGGTGGAGACCCTGACCAACCTCGTTCAAGAACCTTTCTACGTCTGGCTCTCCCTCCCGCTCGCTCCCCTTTGGATAGAAGCAGTTCGCTCTTCTCGCCTGATATTGCAGGTTTGCGTACGCTGGTCCGGATAGCTCTACCTCGACCATTCGATTCTTCTTTCTGTTTCTGCGTTTCTTCTTGCCTGCAGGCTTAGGCTGTGGTTCAGCTTGCTCACACACAGTCTCTCCTGCTGTCTCCTCCACAGCCTCTTCCCCTGCTGTCTCCTCCACAGCCTCTTCCCCTGCTGTCTCCTCCACAGCCTCTTCCCCTGCTGTCTCCTCCACAGCCTCTTCCCCTGCTGTCTCCTCCACAGCCTCTTCCCCTCTGTCAAGGAAAGAGAAGCTGGGGGGTGGCAAGGGGGGGGCAGAAGGGAAGATGAGGAGAGAGTAAAGTGAGGAGGAAGCGTCTTGCGCAGCAACAGCAGCCATTCCTGGATTCCTGGGTCAGTACCCCTGTGGGCATCCCTAGACGGAGGGAGGGAAAGGACCGGGTGGGACGAGTCATCTTGGTACAAACATTCAAAAGCTGATTTGAGTAAGATTTGAATGTGAATTGGCGGCAAACCGCTGATCCACGGACTGAGGCTGGCCGGGCGGCCGGCGGGCCGGCTGCCAGGCCGGGGCGAGTCCCGGTCCGACGATCACTCGGGGGCCGGGGACTCCGACGGCACTGGGCCCCCCGGCGGCATCATCATCCGGCGCGGCCGGGCCGCCCGGCAGGCCCACTGCCAGTGACTGCTGGTGACCGTGCCAGTACGGTCTGAAAGGTCTCGTGCAGTGCCCGCGACGTTAGACCAGGGTACTGATGGCAGCCCGGCTGCGTTGCCGTTCCCTCATAATCAGAGTCCCGGCCGTTCATGGCAAGCCTTGAAGGCGGAATTAAGGCCGCCCGGGACATCAGTGCCATGATCGGATCATGGCTTCGGCCCCCCGTCAGTCCTGCCGCTGCAGTGCGGCTGAGAAACAGCCCCGGGCTCAGCTTCTGCCGAGGGGATGTATCAGCCACCCGGCGGCAACGGTGGCAGAGCGCTGACCGTTGAAGAATCTCCGTCAGCAAGGCGCCGTCATGGCAGCCCTAGTAGTCAAAGCCTATAAAACTTTGAAAGGTTCTCAGTAGTTTCCGAGTTCGTCTTGTCGCAGAAGTGGATTCAACCACGTCCTTTATTACACAACAGGCTTCTGCATCCATGCATATCACGATCCCTCAGTGCCCACAGTACAGCCGTTACGCTCCCGCTCCTCATTCCTCATCCCAGCTTTGTTGGTTGCAACTACTCCGAGAGGTTCTGCTGAGTCTCTCGTATAGTTTCTGCCAAAAACATCGCGTGAAATCTTTCCCTAACCCCTGGGATCTTTGCAAGACGCATCAGAGTTTTCTGTTGATCTTCCTCGTCGACTTCATCGCTTGCCCCACCGTTCTGGTTGGCACCTCTGTGTTCCATCAATATGGCTTGAAACACTCGGTTCGCCCTCCTACCAATGTCGTTCAAGAACCTTCCTACGTCTGGCTCTCCCTCCCGCTCGCTCCCCTTTGGATAGAAGCAGTTCAATCTGCTCGCCTGATATTGCAGGTTTGCGTACGCTTGTCCGGATATCGGAACCTCGACCATCCCATCCTTCGTTGTTTTGTAACCGGGTTTGTGCTCGCCTGCAGGCTTAGGCTGTGGTTCAGCTTGCTCGCACACAGTCTCTCCTGCTGTCTCCTCCACAGCCTCTTCCCCTGCTGTCTCCTCCACAGCCTCTTCCCCTGCTGTCTCCTCCACAGCCTCTTCCCCTCTGTCAAGGAAAGAGAAGCTGGGGGGTGGCAAGGGGGGGGCAGAAGGGAAGATGAGGAGAGAGTAAAGTGAGGAGGAAGCGTCTTGCGCAGCAACAGCAGCCATTCCTGGATTCCTGGGTCAGTACCCCTGCGGGCATCCCTAGACGGAGGGAGGGAAAGGACCGGGTGGGACGAGGCATCTTGGTACAAACATTCAAAACTGATCAGATCAAAGTTTGGCGGCAATCTTTTTTACTACAGCCCTTCAACCCTGCCTTCAACCGTTTCAACCCGGTTGCTTTATTAGTCACGGTGCTGTATCGGAGGGTCATGGCACGAAGCCGCTTTGTGACGCCGGCCCGGCCGTTGCCCGGTGCAGTGCCTCACTGAAGACACCGTGGCAGGCCCTACTCGGCGGCGTGGCCCAGTGGCCGCCGTGCCGGGCTGGCCGGCCAGGGCCGTGACTCGGACTCGAGACGTCCGTGACGGTACGGTCGCCGGAACAGCGGCCGCACGGTGCTTCGGACGGAAATCAGTGACTGTGATCGGAGTCGACGCCGCCTATGCCGGGCCGCCGGGCGGCCCGGCTCAGCGGCTGCTGCCGGTCCGCCTCAGTACACCCTCAGTCGTGGACTCCGAGTTACGCCGCCTGCAATTTATGGGGCGCACTGGCCAACATGCAAGGGAAGCTAGGGAAGGGAGGTCAGGAGAAGAAGCCATGAGCAGAGCTGAGGAGAGTAGAGTAGCATGTTAACAAGAGTAGAAGGAGGACCAGAGAAGAGGACAGAGGGAGGACAGTGCCAGCGACGGAGGGGAATCAGGAACAGCAGCAGGTACATGTGCTTGCGAGGGTAGTGGAAGGAGAGTGAAAGAGAGAAGACTAGGATGACGCAGGAATTGAGGACCTTGATGGTTGCCAGGCTTGCTCGAGGAGCTACGATGTGGGGGAGGGGAGGATGTTCAATTCAATTCTATCTGGCAACCCTTGTGGTGTTGGTATGGCAACAGCAAGCAAGGGCGTTCGCTCCTGCCATGCCATCGAGCTCTTGTGCGAGGATGGCCATGTTCAATCACAGATGTTTCGGCGGCAGACACTCAACGGAAAGGTAACGCTGATATCCTCTTGCGTCATCCATGAGACAAACCCATACTTTTAGTTGGCCCGCAAAAACTCGGAGGAGAGAATCGTTACCCGGCAGACTACGGCTCTCGTCAAACGAAGATCTCAACAAGGAGCGCAGGCAGGTCTTGGCGACCATTCTTTCTCCCCTGGCAGCAGGTGGCAATAAGGAGGATGTACGGATAGTTCGTCATGCCTGACCTTACCGTTGCAGTTTCGACAGCATACCTGATAGTGGTCAGACTTGTCGATTTCCCAACCACGTTGTTTGACGGTTGTCCTTTCCAGCCTCTTGTGCTGGGCAGCGGGACGAGAAGCTCGGGATGGTACAAGAAGATGTTTGCTGAGAACATGGTGTGCGACGGACTGGGAGGTCAAGATTTTGACAATTTTGCAAGGAGTCCATGGACGATTACGAGGAGGGGGTGTCCGGAATGAAGAGGAGCCTCTTCAGCCTGATGCAGGACGACCAAGACGTGCTTGGTGCGGACGATTTTGTTCCCCGGATCGATTCTCATCCTCTCACTCCTTCAGAGATCGGAGCTGGGCTAGGCCCCAACCTCCCTTACTTCCCTTCCTCGATTCGATACACGGCAGGTGGAATGACAACTCAATGCTCCTCCTCCCCTCCTGATCCTCCACTTCTTCCTTCTCTCTCCTCCTGCTCCCCTCCTCCTGCTCTCCTCCTCCTCCTCCTGCTCCTCCTCCCCTCCCCCTCCTCCTCCTTCTCTTCATCCTCTTCATCCTCCTGATGGACTGACTGCCTGACGACAACAGTGGAGCCCAACCAATTCATGCACGAGCGGCTGATGGAGAAGTCCGCTCGCTTCCTCAAGGAGCCCTTGAAACTGGTCGATGACATCCGGTGAGGAGATGAGAGATGCGACGAGGAGGAAGAGAAGGAGAAGGAGAGATGGGAGGGAAGTCGGGAGGAGACGGAGACGAGAGGAGAAGAGCGAAAGTGAGATCAGTATGAGGCAAGCAAGACGAGAAGTTGGAGGGAAGAGATCGAAGGAGAGCAAAGAAGGAAGGGTCCCAGGGCGTTGGAATGCTCTTGACTGACCCATGGGATGGAGAATGATTCCATCTGCTTCCATGGACGTCGTCGTCTCCACTCTAGTTCTCTGCAGCGTACAAAACCAAGTGAGGAAGTCAGATGCAAGCATCCAGCAAGACTGATAACCATGTGCAGGAAGAAATGCTCGATGAGGAAAGCGAATCCGTTCCACCTGCACCTGCCGCCTTCTCCTTCTCGACCATCCCTAACCCTGCTTCACCTCGCTCCCCCTCCCGTCTCAGCCTCTCTGCTCAACAGCCTCCTCCCTCCCTTGGTTGATCTTGGTTCCATCAGATTCTCAGAGTCCTCCGGCCCGGAGGGACCTTCCTCTTCGTGGAGCACGTCATCGAGCGATCGCAGGTGGCGCCGATGGCCTTGTCAGGCCCCTTACCAGTCCTCAGGGATATCCTACACCTTACAACCAGAAGTCCTTCAACTGGAGCAAGGCCTGGTACAGGTGAGAGGCAGGAGTTGAGGACGAGATGGGACGGGAAGGGACGGGAAGGGACGGGGCAGGAGGAGAGAGGGGACAGGACAGGAGGAGGGAGGAAGGAAACCACAGGGTGGGGAAGAAGAGTTGAGACGGATGTAGAAGATGAGCCGGAGGGGAAGGAAGGAGGGAGGGTCGAGGGTCGAGGTCGGGATAAGGCAGTAGAGAGCCGAGGAGGCTGAAGAAAGGAAGAGAGGAGAGGAGAGGAGAGGAGAGGGGGGGAGAGAGGGGAGTCAAGAGGAGAGGAGAGGAGTGGAGAGGAGAGGAGAGGAGAGCGAATGAACTCATTCTCTTCCCAGGTGGTTTCAGAGGGCCATCACCCCCCTCCAAGTGAGACTCCGTCCGTTGCTTCTGGTGCTTCAGTGAGATGAGGCGACAGGTGGCGCTTGCAGACGGCTGCCATGCCGACAGGTGGAGGATGAAGAGGCGGGGAGGAGGAGGCCTAACGGCAGCATGGCAGGGATACTCTCGCTGCGATGCAGAGCAAGTTGTTGAGCTGGGGGCGACTGATGCTGCAGCTGACGACGTTGTTGGTGGCATGATGGTTGGTCGCCGTGAAGGTTTTCGGACGTGTACTGCAAGCATTTCTATGTGAGGAGGAGGATCAAGTTTGGTCAGGTGTGACTGTCCGGTTAGATTCCTGAGCTGTGGGGGGGGGAGGACTGGTGGAGTTTCTTTCCTATCGGGCCACAGGTGAGCAGGACCGTTCGAGAAGAGTGTGAGGGTCAGATGTACGAATTGGGTGATAGTCATGACGGTGATGGTTCCTGAAATGCCCATGGGGATTGCGATGACGATGGCGATGGCGATGACGATGATGATGACGATGATGATGACGATGATGATGACGATGACGATGATGATGATGATGATGATGATGATGATGATGATGAAATCTTGGTCGAGGCGATGATGAGTTTGACGCCAGTGCATAGATTGCTGGTGTCGCCATCAAACGTCCCCTCAAGGACTCTGGGGTCCTAGCAAAGGTTCGTCAGACTTCCTAACAGCCGAAAGTGACATCTGAGCAATATCTTCAGATTCAGTTTCAGTTTTGCGCCGCACAAGATGAAGTGAGAAGGCCGAGCCCTCCTGTTCCCTTGCCCTCACCCTCCTGCAGACGAATCCCGGAGACAGTAGCTCACGGAGAGTCCGATGCGACTGATCGCCAGAGTGCTGGACGTCCAGCAACGACCGCGGAGCTGGTGCTTCTACTCGTTATTGTGGCAGCAGACTGATCCGATGCAAGAGACTCTCCGGATGAACGCGGTCTATCACTTCATCCTGACCCTCGACCACGACGAGGACGACTCTAGAACAGACTGACGGTACGCCGAAGACTCTGAGGGGCTGATCTCAGTCACAACCTCAGTCTGAAGCTTCGAGGCATCTGCTACTGTCAGGTCGAACCCGGGGAAGGAACTCTGTATAGAGAATAAAACTTTCTCTACAGCAAGAATACGCAAGAATGAGGCGAGCATGGAGGGCCTTGTATCCTCTGCTCCCATCATGAGTACAAAAACCTACAGACCTTTCTCGCTGCTCGGATAAGAACCCCAACGCCCTGCCCTCCCCGGCGTCAACGGCGACCTCTGATTCTTGAGATGAGCCAGACGAAAGATAGCGCTCCCAGGACAAACAGCTGCAGAAAGATTCACGTCATGCCAACAGGAGGAGCAGACAGCCAAGTAGTTCTTACCCCTGTACCGACCCTTGCTTCCGTTGGTGATAGTTGGAGGTCCATGTGGAAGTCCCCGCCGGACCTGTGGAGCAACAAGGTTGGGAGGAGGCGGACGGCCCAGGAAGCCGTACCTTCGCCACCATTCCTGTCCGAGTTCAACAGCCTGAGGCTGACCTTGCGGACCAGCTCCTGCAGCCGGCGAGTGAATCAGCAACGAGCAACTTTCAGAGGTAGAGCAGTTGGCACCTGACGCCTTTTCCGAGGGGACATCCAACTGAGAAGTCGCAGCAGCTTTGACAGCTTCGGGAAGATCGTCATTTGGCAGAGACGACGATGACATCTCGTTTTCTTCTATCGCTATCCCCTGAACAAAATGGCACGAACGAGTCACGGCGAGCGTTTCTCATGGTCAGTCTGACAGACCTTGAGAGCAAAAGCTGAATGCAACTCAGTCTCTTCCAAGACAGGGAGCCTGTCTACCCCATGACCAAAAGAATAGGTGTGATAATCTTGAGCTCGGATGTTAGTGTGTGACAAATCCAAAAGGCTGTATCACACCTTCCTCCATATCAGGATCCCAGTCAGAAGCAGAGAGCTGAAAGAGTTTCTGTCAGATATCTTCTTCGATACGTTGAACATGGAGCTAAGAGAGGGGAGGATGTTTCAAAGAAAAAAATCATCATGGTAGTGATCGAGAGAATGTCCAAGAGATCTCAGAGGTAACAAGAGCGGACGAAACATATCACAAAGAGCATTCAGCAAGCAACATGAAACAAACATACATTGCTTTCTCGTCGGCTAGGGATGTCAGGATCGCACTCTGGTGGAATTTCCAAACCAGTCCTCTTCAGGCAAGATGTCAATATTCCAAAAATCACGTTTTTGCCCTCCCGACCTGCATGAAGTCCGCGGTGAACTTTCCATGAGCCCCTTCACGCATTGACAGTAGAGTCTGGCACGCGGATCAGAGATTCTGCCTCGATCCAGGAGGAAGGTCACCTCGAATCGAGGAGGCGTATCTGGTGAGAGCGGCTCGTATCTTGGACGGTCTCGCATTGGATTCGGCTTCACTGTGCCATCAGGCATTTGCAATGGCCGCCTGCAGGGTAATAACATGTCAGAATGGCACTCCTAGTTACGACAGGAACTGATCTCAAAACAGAAAGGTGTTAAAAAACTCACAGTTCTTTCACTGGCGGTAGAGTTTCCGTAGCAAACAGTAGCTGCTTTAAAGAATATCTGAAATAGCCCTATCAGGGCAATCCAAGAGGACAGCAACTCAAGGCCACTCAGCATCGAATTACTCACAAATTCCTGGAAGGCGCTGCTTCTGGATTCATGGGGGGTAATTGTACTGGATCCAAGTCCAATGCTGCAAGTTCCTGTAGAAATCTCACTTCAAGAAATACGAACTCAACCTCCAAAATACCGGAGGTGCTTCCGTGAAGGACATTCTGGGAAGCCGGGGAGCGGACAAGCTTTCACTTCTATCTCTTTGATCATCATCGTGCCCATGCGAATATGTAACAGGAGCTGCTCATACATCAATCCCGATTAATGCTCTCTTCATTCGCTCATACCTATAGGCTTGTGCCATGCCGGCTCCATATCAGGAGAATGTTCAAGTTTAGCAGAGCGATTCTCTGTCTTCTGCTCTTCAACCACATCCTGCTTCTGCTCTTCGGTCACATCCTGCTTCTGCTCTTGGACCATATCCTGCTTCTGCTCTTCCATAGGATCCTGTTTCTGTTCGTCTACAGGATCCTCAGACTGTAAGACTGGCGTGGGATTGTTCTGCAACTCCCAGTTAGCAGAGGATGATTGTCATCGGTTGGTGGGAAGAGGCGATTGATTATGTGAGAGAACATAGGAATACAAGTTTCTCCTCTCATTCTGTGGAGGTAGATGTGCTCAGGGCGGAGGGAAACAGATATGATGGAAGTAGTAATCCTGACAAGGTCGGTGACACATGGTTTGAATGGGCAATGGTGAACATAGAAGGACTCGAGATGGATTCTCACACAGCATGAGACAGGACTGGTATCTGGAAGGGCTTGAGTACAAGGATGGAGGCAGTGGGGGGTCTTTCGCAGAAGAAGGGATAAGGCCAGACGGGGTGGTATTTGTGATGGACAAGGTTGGCAAGGAAAGGTGCACATGGATGGTGAGCAGAAGGGCGGGGCAAGGGGTAATGACTAAGATCCAGGACAGGAGGAACAGCAGGAGAAAGAACAAGGACGCTCGGAGTGCACGAGCATCGAAGAATGCAGAGGGGGGGAAAGAACTGGAGGAAGCGAGAGAGTGAGGGAGGAGCGAAGGAGGCAGGGAGTTGGTTGCAGTCACGTGGGGAGAAGGAAGATCTGTGGGAAGGGGATCGGTGGGAAGAGATTGGCGGGAAGGAGACAGGAGGAAGGACATGGGGCTGTTGCCTTCGGCTTGCTCTTGGCGCCCTTCTTGCCCATGGCGGCGGAGCTTTGGAGCGAAGGGGAAGAACTGGGGAAAAGAGGGGTGGGGTCCATTAGGGGTAGGGGTCCCCATACGGGGTTAGGGGTTATCCTGAAAGCAAGGTAACACAAAAGAAGGTAGGGGTAATGAGATGACGGGTATCATTGACCGAAAAATGTGCTTCAAAATAAGGGGTAAACAATAAAATCAGTCATGGAGGGGGTGGGTCACCCAATAATTTTCGATCGGTGGGAGGTTAACGGGGTAGTAACTTAAATTATAGTTATAGTTTTGGTGGGTAGTCATGAATCCAAGTACCGGTACTTTGAAAACACAATTCTCTGCTGTAGCTAGGGTAGGGTACTGAGAGTGTAGAGGCTCACATCGCAGAGGGGGTGAATCCAAGTATAAAAATGATTTTTTCAATAGTTTGTATCACATTTATTACTTATTACTTGATTTATAATGCATACTTATAATAATAAAATAAACAAAAAACTGTTTTTGTCAGTGCCGTATGCCCAGTGCACTGGCAGGGCGCCGCCGGGCCGCCGGACCCGAGCGGCCAGGGATCGGCGGGGCGGCCGGGCTCCGGCCCGCGGCCCGCAGGGACTCCTCGGAGTCCTCGAATTCTCGGTACTGCGCATGACGCTGCCGGCCCGCCGCGGCCGGCATTAACTCAACTGGCAAGCTTCCGAATGTGACTCACGGTACGTGACCGACGGTCGAACCGTCAGTTGGGCCAGTTGCTTCCGAGCTGCCGCTTGGAGCCTGAGTCCTGGCGAAGCCTGCCACCGCCGCGTGACTCGGATCGGACCCGGCGGCGATCCGGACGGGCCGGACCGGCGGATCGGACGCCGGGTCCCGGCGGAGGGCCGGGGACCCGGTGACCCGGGCCCGGCCGGGGCGCGCCGGGCCCCCGGGGCCCGGGCCGCCGTCCGATTCTGATCCGCCCGGCCGGACCGTACGGTACTCGAGGCCCTCCACTAAGTTCACTCACTGTCAAGCAGCCTCGGCCGGGCGGCGCCGGGTCACCTGGCCGTGCCTGACTCGTGAGTACGGTCCGAGCCCCGCCGCACACCGCCCGGGGTTCGGTTCCGAAGTGGCAACCGGTTCACTAGGCCTACGGTGGCACGGCGCCGCCTCGGTGGGCCCGCGGCTCCGCCGGCTGAGGCCAGGACTCTGGATAACCAGAGATCATCGGCCCGGATCCGCCCGGCCGGACCGTACGGTACTCGAGGCCCTCCACTAAGTTCACTCACTGTCAAGCAGCCTCGGCCGGGCGGCGCCGGGTCACCTGGCCGTGCCTGACTCGTGAGTACGGTCCGAGCCCCGCCGCACACCGCCCGGGGTTCGGTTCCGAAGTGGCAACCGGTTCACTAGGCCTACGGTGGCACGGCGCCGCCTCGGTGGGCCCGCGGCTCCGCCGGCTGAGGCCAGGACTCTGGATAACCAGAGATCATCTTCTCTTTACGACCATGACCACTCTTTTACTCAAACCATGAGGTTGCCCTAGGGGGCTCTTATATGAGGTCCTAGTCCTGTACCCCCACCCTTCTTTTCAATCACTCCTACCCACAAGGCGCATTCAGGCTGAACCACCCATAACCTACCCCTGCACCACAGTTGTCTGGTCGAAACACCCCGTGTAGGACTACCCCACCTGCTCCAGTAGTACCCTACCTGACATGATTCACCTTCTCCTAGGTAGCCCATCCTATCTCTTTTCCCCAACAACGATCGCTCTGGAACCTCTGTGACCACCCTACCCTGAGAATTACACCCTACCCCTCAGATCAAAACAGTTCCGTAACTGATTACCCCCTGATAATACTTGAAATACCCTGAATTGATACGGGTCACTTCAACACCCACCCCATCATTTCAGCTCCGAGGGAGCACCACCCAGGAAGCCATTTCTTACGACCGGTGCAGGATCGGGGGAAACTGCGAATCGATATGCGCGTCGTGGTAAGAAGAGGAAGAGCGGGAAGAAATGGAAAAGTTGGGGAGGGAGCAAGAAGGGAACAGATTGAGAGAGATCATTTAGATACTAACTAGCGAAATGTGGTGCTTCATGAGAACCGGGGAGGGCAGTTTCTAGTTTTGCCTTGATGCAATTGATCTTTGTTTCACACACATACATACGCAATCGAATTATCATCTCGTCTTGTTGTACTGACAATGACTCGTATCAATATTCTTACAAACATAAAACGTGTTTCTATGCTGGTTGAGCGCCTGATTGAAGTTTCCAGACATTCTTGCTGGTTTTGGTCCAATGCCTGATTGCCATCTTTGGAGCAACCCATGCCTCTGTTCTTCCAAGCGTGAATGTGAACTCCGCAAGGAACTTGAACCTAAGAGGAGGAGGTGAGGACAAACAGAAGCCGGAAGGCAAGGGCAAGAAGGGAGGAAAGGGAGGAAAGGCTGCGGGACAGCAGGAGAAAGCTGGAGGAGCTGAGGACAAGAAGAAGAAGTGAGAAGACTACGGCAAGTGAACCTCGTGGCTAATGGTGACGGATGTTTGTTGTTGTCTCTGTTCAGAACCAACTGCGATCAACCTTCCTCCGGGTTCTTGCACATGCCGTTACCAATAAAATGGTGATAGTGGTGAAACTGCAAGACTTTGTTTATGGGATTTTTAGCGATGAGCTGATTTCTATACAAGAGAAGCTCCTGGACGGCACAGCTCGCCAAGCAGGTCACGAAATTTCCCCCCCACCTTCCTTTGACACGAGATCGGCGGCTGTCAGTCCATGGAGATCCTGATGAACTGAGATCAGGCGAGAGAGTGCGTATGTGACAAGACGGTCTTACACGGATCCCATCATTCGCGCCATGATTCATGAGATGTACCACCTGATATTAAACACTTGAGTAGAATCAAGAAGAGACTTCACAATATATCCTCACGCAGGAGGAGAAGCCAGCAGGCATGCTGTAGTGAAGCGCAGTCCGTCCAACAGAGTCTTGGATGTTCGGATCCGCCCCTGATTCGAGGAGTAGTTTTGACACCTTGCAGAGTGAAACTGTCAGGCGACACGTTAGAGCAGAACAGATGACGAGGCTTACATCCCCGTGGCCGTTCATGGCAGCATAATGCAACAAGGTGAACCCTTTGACGTCCTTGAGAGAAAGGTCTATCTTGTGCCTCTGTAGCACCTCAGCGATCTGTTTGCTTTTGCCATCCTTGGCCAATTGAAAAATCGAGAAGTCATCTGCACAGTCGCGGCGTCAAACAGCATGCTTCTGTAACTGAGGAAGCCACAAGGTGGGGCTGGACCACATGGGAAAGGAAATTCATACCAGGAGCGGTGCTCATGAATCTCAGCGCCCGATGAACACCTTGAGATGGAGCGGAAACAAGCAGTAAGTATCACCTGAAGAGGCCAACGGAACACACCTGATCTTCCGGATGATCTCGGGCCGAGCAACGCAATAGGGCTCCTCCCAACCCAGTCTTTTAGCGATTGCATTGCATAGCGCGAGTGGTGCATAGCCGAGACAGTGAGGCGACGGACGGGGGGAGAAGACATGTTCTTCTAGTCTGATCAGTGACGAGCTCTATGCTGAAACCTTCACTGCTTCCTTTGCTTCCCCGGCCTCCTCCCTTGCTGCAGCTACACAACTGGATCCGGCCTTGCCAAATTCCATGTAACGGAAATAACTGTAATACTCGACCAACGGACAAAGAGCGACGGAGGGAAGAGGGAGGAGAGGAGGAGAGGAGGAGAGGAGAAGAGAGGAGAGGAGAAGAGAGGAGAGGAGAGAGAAAGAGAACCGAGAGAAGACGAGGTAGTACCGAAGAAGAGAATGCAATAGAGGGGTGGCTCGCACAGGTTGAAAGACAAGGCGCAAGCGATAAATTCGTCTCAGTCAGTTCCTCTTTCATACACGAGTCAGTTCCTCTTTCATACACATTGTTTAACCTTGAAAAAGGAGCTCAAGATTTTAAATTCGTGCTAGGATTGTCTGAACTTGGAGAGGAAATGGCTGCGACATGATCTGAGGGGCGATTTCAAACTGAAGATGGAAGTGTCGGTTGAAGCCGGCGAGGCCCACGTGCCTCCCTCCTCAGACGAGGACAGAGAGACTTACAAACCTACCAGGACGAGCAGCGAAGGGGGACAAAAGTTCAGACCGATCAGTGCTCCGAGATGTTACGGCAACCTCCGATCGAAGACAAACCAAACCCACGACAGAGGGCTGAGTCAGCACGATGTGCTCACGATAGACAAGCAGTACTACGCCAAGGTGAAGACCTTCCAGCATCGACCGACGAGCGCTCCCAACATTCGGGAGGGAGAAGAGGCGGATGATGAGGAGGGCTCGAGGAAGTTGCCCTACATCGATGATTGGGACGATGACGACGAGGGCACCGAAGAAAACATTCTGAACGACAAGCAGGACTTCCTGTTCAGCCCTCAGAACACAGAGGAGCACGAGTCTCAGAAGGGACAGCACCTCAACCTATCAAACTCCATCGGAGTTAAGCGTGACGGAGCGTTCCACAGGTCCGCGTCAGGGAAGCATCGCAAGAGCAGGAGGAAATTGCCACAGCATTCTCCCACCTTCGAGTCCAACGGGGCCCTCCGCTTCATACGAACCCCCGTCAACTCAGCCCCTCCCACTCGCATCTACTCACCTCTGTACGGAGAGAGGAGTGAATTCAACTCCTTCAGACCGATCTGGGCTCTTAGCAAGCCATCTGAGGTAGCGCATCGCTCGTTGCACGTCTGACGGGCAAACTCACTTTCATGCAGGAGCAGTCCCTGTCGAGCTCCTTGAGGCATGTAGAGAGAGAGAGACCTAAGATTCCAAGGAGAAGCTCCTCTGCTACCTTGATCCGCACCATCGCTGCCGATCCCAGCAGGCCCAGATCGAGTTTGGCTCCCGTCCCACTACTGGTGCAGTCGACAACGAGGGTGTCTTAAGAGTTGCTCCTTACGTTTGTGCAGGTGGTCAAGAACCCGCTGGCTACGAAGCTGGGGAAGAACACAGGAGACCTGGAGGAGATAGGAGGGAGCTTCGAGCCCTTGAAGAGCCAGAGCTCGCTGCCCGATTACGACGCTCTCCACGACCCTCACCTGAGGAGGTTCTGGAGCAGGCAGGACCTGCAGCATGTGCTGAAGCTCAAGGGGATGATCCGAGACGAGTATGCCCCGGACACCGGCCTGTTTGAGTCAGGTGAGAGCTCCTGACCATGGCTTTCTGCGCTGACTTGCTGGGATCAGCCATGGCCAAGGAGCTGGCGGATCTGTCGGCGCAGCGCGACATCCGGGATATGATGATGGAGCAAACGGCAGCGATGAAGCGGCAGAGGAGCCAGAGGAGGGTCTCTCAGTCCGCAGCGAGGAAGCTGACTCTAGAGGTATGCGAGGACGCGCACGAGAACGTTGAGGCAAAGATACATATCTCCAAGGAGCAGCCGGTGATCTCAGCATGGCTGAGTTGGGGGAAGAGCCAGGGGGACTCGGCGCCAGATCTGGATCTATCCTGCATCTGCTTCGATGACAAGGGGCGCGTGCTTGAAATCATCTTCTACAGGTCCCTGGTCGGGAAGAACGAGGCCCTGGTGCACCTGGGGGACGACTTCGACCGGGCACAAGATGCTGCAGTCAGCTCAGACGGGGTGCTGCTTGACCATGCTGCAGACGTGCGGAGGGAGGAGACGATACTGGTGGAGCTGCCTCGGATCATGCAGTCGGTGGTTGCCATCGCGTTCGTGGTCACTTGCTTCAGCGACGAGGGCGGGCTAGCCGATGCCGTCGGAGCGGAGCTGATCCTGTGCTCAGGGTCCAGCCGATCCAACCCTGAGGACGAGCTCGTCCGCCACTACCTGTCGAGCGAGCGGTACAACGCGGCGCTGACGTCGATGGTGGTCAGGGACCGCTCCTCTCCGAGCAACTGGAGCATTCGGACGATCACGAGGGTCGCCATGGCGAACGTGGCGGTGGAGATGGTGCAGATGGTTCAGTCTCTGCTGCGGAACAGAGAGATCTGCTCGCCCTACACGGTCCTGATTGAATACTGCACGGCAACTCGGCCCACCTCCTCGCTGCGGGGGAAGAAGTCAGAGTTCACCAAGGCCTACAAAGCAGTAGTGAAGGCCATCAGCCATGCCTTCCCCTTCGTCAGGGTCGTCGGGAACCCCCAGGGCCTCGTGGAGAAGCCTCGGATCGGCTCCTTCGAAGTCACGCTGCTCGACGGCAGCCGGGTAGTGAAGCTCATCTGGTCCAAGTTGATGCTCGGCCGGTGGCCCCAGAAGATGGACACGATCCTGAGGCGGGTGGCGTCGGCCGTCAAGCAGGGCAGCACCGCAGCCCCCGTGCCGGACGAGAGGTCGGAGGTCGAGATCCGAATGGTCAACGCGTCAACCCGCGAGCGCCTGCCATGGGCGACGGTGGAGGTCCGAGCGCTGGGGATTGCGGCGCAGAAGCTGCAGATGCTGAACGGGGTGAAGAAGAAGGAGAAGCCGCGAGGTTGGATGGCAGACAAGAAGGGTCAGGAGGAGGCGCCGGCACGTTGCCAGTACCGCGTGCAAGCCGATGAGGATGGGAAGCTGAGGATTCGGATCCCTGGTGGAAGGTGAGGAGGGAGAAGGGCGGGGCAGGAGCATGGGAGCGTGAGGTGGAGAGGGGAGGGGGACTTGGATGGAGGCAGGAGGCAGAGACTCACGTCTTTGTGCAGGTACGAACTGTGGGGCATTTGTGCAGGATATGATTGTGAATATCCGTTGGAGCTGCTTGTCAAACCTTTCTCGAAGACGAAGATGAAGGTGACATTGGCGCTGGCGTTGGAGAAGAGAAACCCAGTTTGACAAGAAGATCTTAACGGGCATCGCTAGCTGTACAAGTAAGCTGATTGTAATGAAAGCGTACAGGACCTTGACTGAGACGCGTCTGTCTGTGCACTTGACAACTGTCAGATGGGTGTGCCGGTTGACAAGACAGACAAAGAAGAAGGCTGAGTTCGTGTTGTTGCTGATGTGCGTCTCCTCCTCCACGTTGCCTCTACCATCAACTTGGTCGTGCAGGTGACGACTGGATCGCGATTTCATGTTCGCATTGCTGCTGGGGGGATGGGGTGCAAGGGGGTCCTATACTTCAGAAGAGTAGGGGTACAAATACACAATTTTCTGTGTTTGAGATGGGGTAGGGTAGTGGAAGGACGGGTGGCAGAGAAACAAAATAAGTTCTCCATGGCTGACACAGGTGATGGAATGGTGGAGCGGTGAATGCTGGGGAGGAGTGAGAAGGAGTATGGGGAGGAGAGGAGAAGCAGTAAGAAGAGAACGGAGAGTATGAGTGAGGAGAGGAGAGGAGAGGACAGGATAGGACAGGACAGGACAGGACAGGACAGGACAGGACAGGACAGGACAGGACAGGACAGGACAGGACAGGACAGGACAGGACAGGACAGGACAGGACAGGACAGGACAGGACAGGACAGGACAGGACAGGACAGGAGAGAGAAGACAGAACACGGGAGGCGAGGCGAGGGGGAAAGTGAAGTGTCGTGAATGGAGGGATACCAAGACAGGCAAACAGGCGGAGAGGAGGGAGGAGGAAAGAGAGAATGAGAGAAGAGAAGAAGAAAAAGAGAATGAGAAGAAGACAAGAAGAAAAGAAGAAAAAGAGAAGAAGAAAAAGAGAAGAAGAAAAAGAGAAGAAGAAAAAGAGAAGAAGAAAAAGAGAAGAAGACTGAACTTGTCATGGCAGGTCCAACGCCAATCGAAGAGAACCTGGGCTTCGAAGAAACTCTTGAGGGGAGTGACGGGGATAAGGTGCTGGAAACTTTCGACCTCGCCGGCATAGCCAAGTACATCCAACAGCATGGCTGCAAGAACGTCATCGTCATGGCCGGGGCAGGCATTTCTGTATCTGCTGGTATCCCGGACTTCCGCACTCCTGGCTCAGGTCTGTACGACAACCTCCAGAAAT